AAAATATGCCGGCGCCGTATGCAAAGAATGATCAAGTACGATAAATAGATAATATAAAAAGAAATAAAATATAAAATATAAAAGATAAAAAATAAGAAAAGAAAACTCGAAAAGAAAGAAAAGATCTGAAGCGAAATGAAGACGACTTCAGAACTAAAGAAAAAGAGAGGAAAGGAAAGGATAAAAGATGGAGGCATAAAGGGGTATGATAAATATATAAATAAAACCGCATTAAAAATAACTTTTAATGCTTCTTTCTGCAGTGAATTGGTTGAACTTTTACCGCCTCTCTCTCTTTCTCCAATAAAACATGCCGGCGCCGTATTCAAAGAATGATCAAGAACGATAGACAGATAATATAAGAGATGGGAGATGGGAGATGGAAGATGGGAGAAGGGATATGACGCAGACTAAATGAAGTTCACTGTTGAAGATCTAGATCTAGATCGAGATCAGGGCACGTACGCTTGAGAGAGAAAGCCTGTGTGTAACATGTCTACGATCTATCTGGCTACTGAAAAATTGAAAGTTGTTCAAATGTACCATATACCAAATGAATGACTGTTCAACGACGACCGCTTCTTTTGACCTGTCTAATTCCCAATCATGCCGTAAAGATGGTTACCGCGATTCCCATTGATTACTCGGAATCAGATTCTGTATAAAATTAGCAACCAAACCAAGGACCGGTCCAAAGTACCCAGACGTCATCCGGCGTACAACAAAGCACACCCCCTTGACGCAATTCCAAGCACCAATCCTTTTCTAAAGAAAAAACCTGAAGACTCACCGACAGTCGCATACTTCTTCACCACCCTCTCGATCCCGTCCAGGCCCATCTTCAACGTCTCCATCTTCGGCCCATATGAGAATCGCACGAAATGGTGACAAGGGCTGTCGAACAAATCTCTCCGCTTACTCGGGTTCAGATCAAAGAAGATACCCGGGACCACAATAACCCTCTCTTCCAAACAAGCCTGGAAAAAGTTCAGCCCGTCGGCGATCTGATCAGGGAGACCTTCCAGATCGAGCCACAGGTAGAATGTGGAGTCGGGGACGGTGTTGATTTTGAAACCCATCTTCCGCAGGCGCTCAACGACGTAGTCGCGCTTCTCCCGGAAGTGGAGCTGCAGGGCTTTCATCTCGGTGCGGACCTTGTCTAGAGAACGAGGTGGTCAGTCATTTTCCATGTTAATGTTTCAGCATGGGATCTGGTAATCTCTCAGAAAGAAGAAAATATGATTTCTCATTGTCTTACTGGGCTCCATCATGGGGATAGCGGCTTCCTGGAAGGGTACGTTGGCACCGCCGTCGACTATAACACACCGAATAGTCAGTCTTTGCATTATCAAGGAAAATCTGCGAGTAAAGTGAGACATTACGTACGGTAGGAGCCGCAGGAGCCGATGGCTTGGATGAATTCCTGGATGCATCAGCTTTCTGTCGTGTCTCCTGTCCATGTGAGCAGAAGAGGGGATACCTTGGGTCCAATAATCCAAGCGATTCTCCAGCCCGGAAGTCTGAAGCGCTTTGTAAGGCCATCTATGATCAACACGTCGTCCTCATCGACATCATCCACATTCTCTGCCGCGCTGATCGTGGTGCCATCACAGTTACTCGTGTAGTTGTACCCGCCATAGAACTCATCCATAACCAACGTCGCCCTATCTCTGCAGATGTCTTGAATCTCGGCCAGCTCGGGATTCTTCACGACCTTGCCAGTGGGATTACGCGGGTTCGAAGTCAAGATGACGGACGTACCGCGGGCAATCTCGTCCGCAATCTTGTCTGGGTGAATGTGGTATTCATCTTCCTCAGACAACGGGGAGGGAATAGCTGCGAACTATACGGAGTAGTCAGCCGTGTGCCTCAACCCTCAACACCATCTCCGACTCCATCTCGTTCCTGAGCCAAACCAGAGGGAAGACCCCTGCCAAGATAAGCGGAGGGGGGTAGATCTTGGCAACCCCTCCTTGTTTGTCCCCCCCAAAAGTCAACAAACAAAGTAAGCAAAGTGAGATAGATACACACGTTCTTAAACAGCGACAACATCTCGTTGTAGGCAGTGTAGTCCGGGATAAAGAATCCCAGATACGCGTTATTGAGCACTGCCGCGATCCTGATCAGGCCCGCGCGGCCTCCAGGCACAATGCACACATTCTCCCAGCTGTACTGGCTCTTCTTGCCCTGGCGGTGATGCACATTATACAGGTTCGCGACCGCAGCCCGGAGGCTCTTGATTCCGGCGGTAGGGCCGTACTCGCGGCCCGCCATGGTGATGTCGATGTTGTTGGGGCGCTCGAAGGAACCCTCAATCTCGTCGTCCACTTCGGGGGCGCCTTGACCGAGGTTGGCCCAGAGCTCGGGTTCCTCGAGAAAGCCATGCTCGTAGGCCCGCTCGGTACACCAGATGACACCTGTGGAGGCACGGGTGGGATCAAGGCCAGCGTGAGGGCGGTGGCCTTCGTGGGCATTTCGGAATTGCTTGTGGATGGTTGAGTTGGTTTCTGGGAGCGTGCAGATTAGCAGATGCTCGCAGCAAAGAACCATGACAGAGTGGGATCTGCCATTAGAAGGAAGGCGACATGTTTATATGCAAGTTATCCGTTTCCAAGTCCCGTTCACAAATAGAAGAGAAGGCATACCGTTCGCACTCGGATCATGGGTACTGAAGCGTCTCGCCGCCTTGGTCGACGGCCTAGGAGTACCAGTGTTCCGATTCATCGAGAACTTGCGGTTATGGACGGGTAAGCCCTTCATCATTTCTCGTACTGAATCCGTCATATCTGCCCGTATGCTTCCGAGCTTCCAAGAACAATAGTGTCGATGTAGGATGGTTGGGTAAGAAAACTTTTCCAAAGGTAGAATCGGAGCCCAGGAAAATTGAATGTAGATTGACTAGACAGGACCAAAAGGGAGAAGGAGATGGGAGGGAAGAGGAGGGTAAAAGAGAGGAGAGTGAAAAGTAAAAATCAAAGGTGGATCCAGATCCTACCAAAGACGAATCTGCCCCGCCAAAAGGCCGTACGCGATAGAGTGATGGCAGGCCTCTCTCTGCGCCAGTTTGATCTTGACGGGTGAACTCTCCTCGGATTCTGTTTATTGCAATACGAATAATGTCAATTGCGAGTACGATGCACTCTGATTGGATCTACTACGTACATGGTCGGACTCTAGGAAGTAGTAGTACTACGTACTAGTAACTTGTGCCTTATAGAAACTCAAGGGTTACCGGCGAATCGGATTATCCGAACATTATCCTGAAGGGCGGGTTGACCTCGGAAATCTTGTTCGATTTGTTTATCAGATACGGCGAACGCGTACTAAGTTTGCGGCATTTTTTAATACCAGGTGAGGTGTTTTTGTTCGTATAGTACTGAAACAATAATACAAGGCTATCTCTACACTCCAGCTATCTCCTGTTTCAACTTCCCATGTTAGGGAGCCAAAAAAAAAAAGGTACAGCACAAAGGAAAAGTCTAGCTGATCTCCGCCGCACTCTCATCTTCTTCTAGCATGGTCTTGAAACTGAACGGCTCGAATGGAATACCGTCGCCCATGAAATGCTTGCTCATTGCTTCAACCCAATGCAGTCGCAGGGAGTGAAGCATAGCACTGGTACCTTCCATGATGACAAGTACGGCAACAGAGAGGAAGAACCAGAGGAAGAATGAGACAGTGACAGCAAAGACACCAAAAGTGCCGGTCATGGCGAGACCGTTCGCGAGCGTCATGGTCCAGAGGACAACAGACAGCTGTTGATGAGCGAGGGAAAGCGCCCAGAGACGGAGGTAGGAGGCTGTGTGGGAGACACAATTGAGGCAGAATTCTGTGACGATCGTTAGTAAGCTGTGATATATAGAAAAGAATAGAAGGCTTACCAATAGTGTGGATGACCTGGTGGATCATCACCTCACTGAATTCAAACTCCTCGTGCTCTTCGTCATCTCCAAGACCCTGTGTAATCATAGCAACGCCCTCACCGTCACTATTCATGCTAGCTCTTCCGTCCAAAGTATTGCTGTCGTCATCATCCATGGCGCTGACGCGGGACGTCTCGCCAATACCTCTGTATCCCTTCGCACGAGCCTTGTTATTCTCGTAGCGGAGATAAAATGGCTTAAGGAAGAGCAAGATGGGGACTTGTACGATGGCGATGAGAACCAAAAAGACTTGAATTCCGGCCTGGCCCCCATACAATGGCTCTTCTATCGTACCAGGGGACAAGAACATGTAGATTAACATATTGAGGAGTCCCGGAGGCGATGCACCGATGGCGTACCAGTCAACGCACCACTTGTAGACGATAGTGAAAACAAGGTATCCGAAAATTGCCTGGAAGAATATCATTCCAGGTACGAATACACCCCAGATGTCGATCGGGGTCTTGAAATGGCGAGCGTTGATGTATGATAGACATAGTGAGTATGTCATGTGGCACCAACCCATCAGGATACTGAGCTTCATCTTGTAACTGTTGGAGAACAAGAGGTCGTTCTCGGTACCATGCCACATCCAATCCAGGCCAAATGGGTAGCGGTAATCGCTCTTCAAAGATGCGGTGACCACTTGTCCCTCCTTCCAGCCCTCTGGAACATCCCATTGCCAGGCGCTGGGGAAAATAGAGAGCGACTTGGAAAAGACATCGTTGTAAATCAGACCAGTGTACATAGAGAAGATTCCCATCATTAACATGATATATCTTCCATAATATGCCATAGAGAAAAGCTCGTCGCGAACCTTCTTTAGTGGCTTCTCCCAGTAAATCATGGCAGAAGCTGCGGCGAACATGATGAATCCGTGACCGAAATCACCGAACATGACAGCGAACAAGAATGGGAAAGTAACAATGGTGGGAAGACCAGGATTGACTTCCTGGTACTTGGCCGTTCCATAGGCGTTGATGATAGTCTGGAACCCCTCCGTGAATCTGTTCGTCTTCTGGTATGTAGGCGGGGTCTTGTTCGTACGGATCTCGTTGATGATGGAGGGAACAGAAAGCCCAGCTCTGTTGTTGACATCGTGGAGCGTCGACTTGATCAACTGCAATGAGTTTGTAGGGCACCAAGCCTCTGCAATCAGTGTCTTCCTTGCATGATCATACGAGAAGAGATTTAGCGTCTGGTAAACTGCCTTCTCCTTCTTGATGATGACCATCCAAGCAGCCAAACTCTGCGCAATCTGTGTCAATTCCGCATCGAGTGTGCTCTTAGTGTTGTTCAGTACATTTCCCAGATCTCCGAGTCTGGTGTTGACCTCATGGATCTGATCCCTTCTCAAATCGCTGTTCTCGTCCACGCTATATAGATCCGCTCCCAGCGACTCGGAAATCTTCCTGATCTTGGCGATGAGCTCCTTTCCATGTGCGAAGATGACGAAGACGTTCTTGTTGACTGCCTCGTTGTTCGCTGGATCGACTAGCGGCTCCGGGATCTCGGATTGGTTCATGTAGAGATTTCCTCTCAACGTACGCCACAAGATACGCTCAAAAGCAGCCACTCTGTCTCGAGGGATGACGCCGGACACGAATCCAATGTTCATAACCGAGAACGAACGCTCCCCATCTCCATTTTGCGCAGGTTGTTCGACATCCTGCAGCAGCGGCGCATCGTCGTCGTCGTTCGATGCTCTGATACCCTCGACATTACCATGTGCCCGGTCGAAGAATCCGCCCGCCTCTCTCAGCACCCATCTCCACTCGGTCAGTTCTACCTCTCTCTTCTTCAATGTCTCGTAGCTATCGTTGAGCGATGCAACTCGTTGCTCGAGGCTCTGGCTGCGGTCGGCCAGCTCATCAATTTCAGAGGCAGAGGGCGCGGCTAGGGTATCGACATCGAGATCAATCTTCCGGAGGGGGATTCCAGCCTTCTCCATCTGCGAATAGAAGAACCCTATCCAGAGTCAGCCAGCCCCGCATACTAAAAAGCCTATCCAACCCACGAAGCTGTCTTTCGACATTGTCCAGTCTCCGAATCTCCTGGGTAAAAGTTCGCTGAAAAGCAGTGACATCCGAATTGAGCTACCATATCATCAGCGCGAGCCTCAATCGAATCTCTTGTGGCCCTCGACGCGAATTTATCATACATCTCTAAATTGGATCTGGCCCAGCTCGCCCAGGGCGTTGACAATCTCGCGGCCGATTTCGTTGGCGATGTATAGTTGGACCATGCTCATGTCCGCAGACCGGAACATGGTATCCTCGTGATGCACCATGGCGAAGAAGAAGCGGTATTCCCAATCCTTCTTCAATAGTTGAGGAGAGCTTGGTGATGTGGGTGCGATGGACAATAGTTGGAGTGGTTGGAGGCAACGAGCTTCGCGAGTCGTCATCGTAGCTTCAAGATCACGTGGTACCGATACTCTTGGCACTTCCCCTTATTCTCATCTCATGGCTCATTGCCAGCTACTCTCACTGCGATGTTATGCAGAGGTGGTGTTTTTTTTTTTTTTTTTTTTTTTTCACACTCAAGTTGATGACGGTAGATATTCAACAGTGACATGCCCTTACACGATATACGGACACCAAGATGGAGAGACTTTATGTGGTGGTAATGAGTTCGAGTTGAGGCTGACGATTCATTCATTTCCCTTCACGCAGCAAAATTTTTGAACACTATAATACCCGCTGGCTCAACACCTGACACATACGACCATAGACTGAGGAGAATTGGGCATCCCGTTCGCTCTGCCATACACAAGCCTCAGATCGGCAGATTAGTAGTTGGGTGGGTGACCACCAGCGAATACCTGCTGTTGTATGTTTTTGACATCTTCTCTTTTGCCCCTCCATCTTATGAAATTTGCATCAAATCCTGTAGAAAGAGTACCTATTGTTTGGTTATTGGGTACACCATTCCACTATTTTCCGGAAAAAGCAGGAATGAAATTACGTGGGCATCTGTGCGATGGATTCTATGAGGATGCCAGAACCCTCGAAGGTGGTTTAGAGCAAGCCTTTCTCCTTTCTTTCAGAAGATGTTGGAGCGCATGTAAAGTCAGCCATCGCAAAAATTACACAAGTTCCATTTTGAGCAAACGAAAATCCATAATCTTCATAAATACTGTGGCTACTTAGCAGCAGTATCAACATTCATAGTTGAACCCATAATATGTATGTGTAGGGGAAGTGGGAAAAGACCGCAGGGAACGATGTCCAGATTAGTTGTTGGACGCGCAAGAGGGAATAATACAAGTCGGCATTGCAGTCAACAATATGAGATACATTCATTCCAAGTAGCCAGGGCATCATAGGTCATAGCTTGCTTGTACTTGAAAACAAACAGCCTCCGATGAAGGATGATGGTATTTATATAGCTGCGCAGTGAGTGACGTGAAACGTAGAGAGATGTATAGAACGAGAAATATGGTAGTATAGCTAGCTAACTTATTCGGGGAAATAGACTACTTAACGGTGGACCCAAAAGACGTGGCTCAGCAAAATTCTCATGATCGAGTGCTGGGTATGGACAATGGGGAAGTGTCAATCAATCTGATCAATCGAAAGAGCTGGCAAGTGTGGCTGCTTGATAACAATTTTAAATGTGACAATAAGATGCCGATTGTCAATTAAATTTGACGTGCTTTTCTAGGAAATGGTGTAGTCCAAATATAACTTGGGGCATGTTCAAACAATCTAGTGTCCATTGGGCATACGGTACAATCATGCTTCCTTCGGTGCTTTCCAGATTCCGAATGATCGATGCACCTGCTAAAGTATAATCTTAGTTTGTTGATAAATGAGTCGATGATGGATTATATACTAGTGGACACAACGGGCCGAATAAGGTATCCATATGAGTTCAATAGACCTCTGCGGTCAATATTCTCTAATCGTCGGCTCGCTTAGGTGGGCCTCCTTTCAGCCTTTCAGTCTTAGTCGGTATAAGCGACTGCGGATCGGAAGCGAGTGCGGATTTTTTATTTTACTACTAGTTTTTTCGCCTGGGTAGTTTTTGCCAGGGTTGTAGGGAAAGAAACAAACCAAATGCAGAAGTCAAACATAGATACTCATTCATGCGTCTCTTGTCACAGAGGGATTTGTGTTTGTACGTTTGTAATTGATCTGATACCCAGCCCGTTTCCGAAACGATGTCGATATTGGTAACAGGATGAAGAAGTGACTGTGTAGCAATGAACCTCGAGAGCTAGAGCCTGGAGTGCTGCGGCCCAGCTCTTCCAACCGTTGTATATTCCAGTGAGTGGTACGTAGTATTTCCTGCTGCCTGGTATGTCGATCATCGAAGCTTGTTTACAAACAAGCTTGGTAAAAGACTCCAATTGCCGAGAATAACAAGACCAGGAAGACAATCACTTGATCTCGATTTCGCGAAACTCAGGATGAATCAGGGCCATCAATATCACAGTTCAAAAAATCGTCATGAAGTGAAAATCCAAGGACTGAGTGATGGGAAGGTTCCGTCGAGAAGGGGATTGTGGTGGTCCCCCTCCCCCACTCTTGCATCGACTCTCAAAACCCTCACTGCACTACAGTACAACTTTCCCGGAACCCCAACCTCCACTTTTTCGATAGAAAAAATAAATACCAAGAAGTTGAAGAGCCATGGCCGCACTTTTGAATCAACCCCCGACAGAAGGACCCCACCGCTCCCTCGACGCAGCCCTCGAAGCCCAGCAGTACCTGCAATCTCGTCTCTCAAGCACCACCGACAGCCCCTCTTTCCGCTCAATCCCCATAATTGATCTTACAAAATCCTTCTCCTCCTCTCTAACGGAAAGGCAAGTTGTAGCTAAAGAGATCAACGAGGCGTGCACCAAAGTGGGATTCTTCTTCATCACCGGACATGGAATACCAGATGGAGTTTGCAACGATGTATTGAAGCTTGCGAGGAGGTTCTTCCATGAGTTGCCACAGGAGTCGAAAGAAGAACTACACATGAGGAAGAATGAATACTTTCGGGGCTATGAGCCAGCCGAATCTTCGTCTAGCAATGACTTCACAAGTAAAGAGTCGAAGGAGGCGTTCAACTGGGGCTATGAATCTGGGCTGGACCCAACGGGTGGTGATGGAAAGTATGTGGAATTGGATGGGAAGCCCGAATTCGCGGTGAACATGTGGCCGAAAGAAACCGAACTGCCTGGGTTCTACGAAGGAATTGCGAAATACTATGGACATGTACGTCGGAATGCCAAAGCTCAACCTCCTTTTCTAACTTGTGATCAGGTTCTCCAACTGTCAAGACACCTGTTTCGCCTCTTTGCCCTCTCATTAGCTCTGTCTGAGGATTATTTCGACCCCATGATGACACACCCGGGAGGAATTGCACGATTGATCCGCTACCCACCAAGTACCAATTCTAAGCCTCTGTCTGAAGTCAACGAAGACGAAGAGATTGGTCTCGGCGCCCACTCCGATTACGAATGCTTCACTCTCCTGCTGCAGGACTCCAATCCCGGTCTTGAGGTTCTGAGCCCAGATGGAAGATGGGTCGGTGCTGAGCCCGTACCGGGAGCATTCGTGGTCAATGTTGCGGATTTCCTGATGCGATGGACAAATGGAGTCTACAAGAGTACAATCCATAGGGTGGTCAACCGGACTGATGAAGAGAGATACAGTATCCCACTGTTCTTCTCCATCAACTACGATGAGACGGTGGAGACGCTCCCCTCGTGTGTCAGTGAGGGGTGCCCATCTCTGTACCCGCCGATCACGGCCGGGAGATACGTACTGGATAGGTTATCTCTGACCGTGAAGACTGGCAAGTACTAAGCACTGCAACCATTTTCGTAAGCTCCAAGGGGCTTCTTAATAGGAATTGGAAAGGAGGGAAGGGCAGCAGAAGAGCTTATGAAGTTCTCACGAATCTCAAGTACAGGTCTCGAGCTCCAGCTATTCATTGCGTGCTCCTCAAGATATGAGCCGCTTGCTGGCCTTGAAACAAGCCTCCCCGAAAGAGATATGCCGGTCTTGCCCTTCAAAATTGACAGTTGTATACCGGTACATACAACTTTGCCATTGTTCGAGGATATGCAGGTGACGATAGGTCTGATTGACGAAGGGCGGCGCAAGGCACTTGATTTTTGAAGTCTACAACGACGAGATCTTAGAGGGGGCACTGAATTTAAGTAAAAGCCGAGAGAGAAAGATAACAATATAATATACGTACATGTTCCTTTGACGGCTCCGATCGATATCCAAGATGCTCACCTACCTTTTCCGGAAGCGAGAGTGAGTACTCAGAATATCTTCGTCCGAAACGAGATTATAGAAACAGGCCAGTGAATAGAGATCTACAATGATACGAATGTGGGCTTGGAATGTGTCGTGTGAAATACATAAATAAATAATTGAATATATATAAAGCTACATTCATTTTCCCTCTCTCAACCGAGTCTCTTCCTCCTATAGTGGATTTACATTTTGAAAGACTCTCGGGCCTCCTGCAGCTAATAAGCAAGCAATCCATTCACGGGTCGCCAAGCACACGCCGGCGGATTCGAGAAGCAAAGGAAGATTGGCAGGTTATACCGGTACTACTTGCTAAATAATCAAAGCTTATGTGACGGATGACATCAGCTGTGAAGCCAAAGAAAGGAAGATATTGAATTCCCATGACCCGTCCCGTCGGCCCCGTCGTGGCGGCTTGCACTCAGCGGCTACCTTAGCCGCTGAGCCCCTTTTAACGTGACCTATTTGGCACCTAACACGCCTATGAGACTGACAGAGTCCAGTACTTTTAGAGACTGCCGAATCGCAATCCCCCAACAACGTCGACGGCGACGACAACCGACATCTATTTAAATACCCATACCGCTATCCTTTGTAACCGAGGACCTATTCTCAAGCTACAAGTGCAGCGTAGAATCGCGTCCAGATTCAAATTTCCGACTCAGGAATCTGGATCAGGGGTCGCCCTGGCAAAGACCCCGTAACTCAAAGACGACAGGGCAGGAGCCCGGAAAAAAAAAAGGAGGCGACAATCTCCTTGTTGCGGGAACGCGCATCACCTCACTCGGCGGCCTTCGCATTATAAACTATGCGAACGGCCTTTGGACGATGTGACGCAACAGCAACGAGCGACGACACCAGTAGTACAGCGGACCATGAGGCTCTAGATTGGAGCGGAGCCGCAGAAAACCACGATGAGTGGAACAATACCTCGACAAAAGGCACTGCCGCAGCGACCAATGCAGGACTTGGGATATGTCTCAGCGCCGCCGAACGGGACGAGGGGGCCTCCTGAGCTTAGTGGGAGGACTGTGCTAGAGGGCTACAGGAGCAATACCACGAATGGCTTCGAGGAGAAGCCTCGTTACAATCCGGTATGTTGTGTGGAAGCCACTCAAGGTCGCTGGAGGAGCAATGGGAGAGGGCGCAGCTGACGGAAGTTTGGCAGTTGAATCCTACGCGACCACAGAGCTCTCCATTGCTCAATGTCAATGACCCGATACAAGTCCATCTGCTGGTTGAGACTGCGCTTTGTGATAGCAAGGAGTATGAGATCTTGTCCCCGGAGGAGGTTGACGACCTCCAGAAACAATGTCAGGCCCTGACCCAGCGGATCGAGCAGACGCGGCAAGGCCTCGCGCTTCAGTCCAAGTACCGCGATGCTGCGATCTCGATGGCTAAACTGTATACCAACCCTGACAAGAAGAAAAGTATGGATGGCCAGGATGGGAAGAGGCGGAGCATATTCGGGCACAATCGCAACGTTAGTGATTCTGTCAAGGAGGCAGACCAGGAACGAATGGCCAGCGAGAAGAAGTGCGAGGATCTGGCACTGGAGCTATGGAATTTGGAGAAACGCCAGATGGAGCTACAGAGCAGGCTCTTGAAGCACACCGCGGGCATATTGCAGATGACTCACAAGGGGCCGAAGGTGCCAATGGTAAAAGGGGGAGCTCAGCAACAAGGAATTCCTGGAAGCCCGGAGAGCATGTACACATACTCGAACGCGAGAAGTAGCATGGAACCCCTCAGCGACGATCTCTTCTTCGACGAGAGGAGTTTCTACAGACTTGCCGATCACTCGGATGAATTTGAGATCGGGGGCAGGGAGGGATTCATGTCCCAGTCTAAGGGCTCGTCAAAGGAACAGATGCAAATGATTGCGAATACGGAGCGCAAGCTGGAAGATCTAAATAGGCAGTTGCGGGAAGTGATTGTGAGAGCGAATCCGGACCGCGAAACGACATACAGTGCTCCTCCGGGAGATGGCAATTCTGCAGATGCTGGTGCTTCTCTGCAAAGTCATTTGGACTACATGGAAAAGAGTATCATGACGATCAACCAGGGGAACGGTGGACAGGCACAGTCTGCGGGGGCTGAGCTCTCGAAAGCCTCAACTACCGCGAACCGAAATATGGGCAACCAGGGCAACTCAGAACAGATGGAGACAGTCTTGATGGGACTGTGGGATATCATCCAATCCGGCGAAGAAGACCACCGACAACGCAAAGCTGATCGGCGGAAAACACGAATGGCTCAAAATTTACCCGAAGACGAGGACGACTCACCTGACGACGACAGTGATCCGAATGAGAAGTTCTCGCTCCAAGGATTCTCCTCCAAGGTGCAGTGGCTCTACACCCAAGCCACTCGACTGAAGGACCAGAAGAAGGTTTTACAACGGCAGATCAAACAACAGAGAGAGCTGAACAACAAGTCAGATGCAACGAAGGACGCCGAGATGGAACAGAAGATCGAAGAGCTGCGGAGGACGCAAGATCTTCTCACGCGAAGCGAAGCGGATGCTGACAACGTTCGGCAGCAATTGAGCGATATGATGGAGCGGCTCGCCGAGAAAGATCAGCAACAGCTCTTGCGTGATCAAGCTCGCTCGAACGGTGACTCGGCTGTCCTCAAGCAATCTCAAGAGGAGCTGAACAGCAGCAACCAAAAGCTCCAGAAAGTAGAGCAAGAGCTGGAATCTCGTATCCAGACGATTCGGCAGGTGGAAGAGCAGCTCGAAAGCCGCAACGTGAGAATCGCTTCTCTCGAAGAAGAACTGGAAACCCGCAACCAGAGGATTTCTGCCCTCGAGAAAGAACTGCAAGATATGAAGGATGGTCAAACCATTGGCAATGCCGAGTTGCAAGGCAAGATTACCAGCTTGGAATCCAAAATAGCTTCGTTAACGCAGGAGTTGGCTGCCGCCCAAGCTGCTCAAGCACTGTTTGAGAACAGCTCCCAGGAGAAACAGAAGGTGATTGATGCCAAGGAGCAAGAAAAGGAGGAAATGAACATGGAGATCGCCAACCTCCGAACCGAGGTCACAATAGCAAGAGCCGAATTGGATGGTGCCTATGGATCTAGAGCCCAGCGTGCAGCGGAAGTTGCAGCGAATCCCGAAATTCAAAGGGAGATCGACGCTCTCACCAAGAGCAACTCCTCTCTCGCTGCCGAACTCGCTACCTTACTCGATAAAGGTACCGCGAACCCCGAAGCTGAGGCTAAGATGGCAACGCTGAAGAAGGAGCTCGAAGAGACGATCGAGGAGTACGAGCAGATGACCAAAGCGAGCATCGAGTGGGAGAAGGAGCGGGAATCCTTGGAAGGTACGATTGACAATTTGCGTGACGAGAGGGACAGTCTCGAGACTCAGTTGAGCGATGAGAAGGTTCGTTGGCTAGGCATGAAGAGTCCTGGCATCGATGGGACTCTGCCGCCTGGGTCGACGAGCACCAGCGTGCTCAAAGACGAATTCAAGAAGATGATGAGGGATGCGCGCGCAGAGAATGCGAAGGCCTTGCGGGTAATGCTTCCCCCTCCCCCTCTCTTCCTTTCTCTCTATTTTTCCTCTCTGAACCTGGGGATTGGGGATTCGGGATTGTCTCGGCTAATATTGAGTAGGCCGAACAAGCAGAACGGCGCCGCCTCGAAGACGAATTACGGGCTCTCAAGAAGACTCAAGGGCCGGGCAGGTCGGGGCTTAGCCAGAGTATGGGTACTTAGGTCATTTCTCTCTCTCTCTCTGTTCTTTCTTCTCCTTTATATTACCCCAGGGCCATCGAGGGAGACATATGCTGCATGTATGAATAGTATGATACGAATGAGTTTCTCTGTTTGCTTAGCCTTTTGCTTTTGCTTCTCCTCGATGTCCAGGAGGGGCGCGTGAGAATGTTTGTTTAGTTGGAATTCGGCATTGCGGGCTTGGGGCTTGGTGGTTTGGGGGTTTTTCTTCAAAAAGAAATGGAAAGAAAAGGAAAGAAAAGGAAATGAAAGGAAGGGAAAGGGAAAGGGAAAGGGAAAGGGAAAGGGAAAGGGAAAGAGAAAGGGCGGGAATTTTGAAGAGCAAAGAAGCTTTTCGATATCAACAAACAACAGTCAAAGGAGTTTTGGTTTCTGTAATAAAAAGATGGATGGATGGATGGATGGATGTATAATATGGTTAGATGTACTCCGTATATAGATATATATATCTATATACATACACACATATGCATTCAAATCCATGTGGACGTATGCATATTTCCTGTGGGGGGGGGGGGGGGGGTTTCTTTTCCCCCTTCTCATCTTGTTGAAGTTGGAGACTTGGTGCGAAGAAGAAGAAGAGGCGGGTTGGATGGGGGACCTCCTTCCTCACCGGCTTCACGAGAAAATTTCGCGAACGGGGTCGTTTCTAAGAGAAGAGTTATTTGTCCTGGATGGAAAGAAAAGGGGGAGGGCTAGGCTACGACTCTGGACCCGTACGTACGAGGTTGCCTCCTCCGAACCTCCTTCGAGCCTCCTTCGAACCTCCTGCGGCAGAGAGTCTCGAGAGGCGACATTTGAAATCCTCCACTACCGTAGCACTAGCACAACCTGACTCTGGCAGAGGAGGCAACCACTCTAGAAAAGAGTCAAGGAACTCCGGGATCGGGACGTGGGAAGCTGTCGCTAGGGCGGACCGTTCGGAAGAGCACAAATGTACGCAGAGAGTATGTGCATCATAGCCCTCGAGAGTTGTTCCAGCGTTGCTGTGAACCTATTCCGGAGGGGTATTGGAAGAGGTATCGTATGATGAACGCACAAAAATTCAAACTACAACTATCGGGCTCATAACTCATCCTTGAAGAACAATTCCTCACTCCCTTCTTCTTCGTCGTCAGCTTCTTCTTCGTCATCGTCTCCGTCCACAATACCCAAGATCTCTCTGACCTGGCCCGGTGCATCTACGACCTGGATCTGCCATCCCTTTTCTTTGGCCATTTTCTGAACTTCTTTCTTCAACTTCTCAATCATCTTGGGATCAAGATCTAGCTTTTGCAGCTCAGCATCGCTAGCAATCTCAACCTTTCCGCCTTCGGCCTTGCTCTCCGCACGGGCAATGGTTTCCGTCACTGCCTTCTTCTGCCCGTCCTCTCCAAAGTTGGCAGGGACCGGCATTCGCTGTCCCTCCTTGTTTATCCACTTTTCCGCACCTAAAATAATACCCCCGACGTTGATAGGGAGCTCCGTATCCACTGTTGGGGAGGTATCGAGCAGCTTGATTTCGGAGAGATCGGCAATGTCCTCCTCAGGCACAACGGTTCGGCAGACAATCGAGTTTGCCTTGGTTTCTTTTGGAGGTTGAAATGCGACATCGGAGCAAAGTCGTGGAGTGTACACGACCATGACGTAGGAACATGTTGTGACCTCCTTGATGTATCCTATTCGGTCTGTGACGTGAGGGTTGCAGTGATATTGTACCTCCACTCGTCTCGGCTTCCCAGTCAAATCGCATGTCGTACCGCCCTCCATCTTTTGTACCAGGTATCTCGTATCGCCTCGGATCTGCAACTCTGTTTTCGGATGCTCGTTCGACGACTTCTCGATCGAATTGTCCTTTCCGTTTGCCCTATCCTTTCTTTTCGCCTTGCCCAGCACGAATTGTGATGTTGTAGGGTCGGGTTGAGGTGGAAGCAGTGGCTTTCCAGGCTGCGGAGGCAGCTGGTGGAACTGCGTGATCTCATCATCGTAACAGAAAGCATAGGACCACCAGCCGGAGACAAAGTATAGACATTTGCCCTCCAAATCCTGTAGCAATTCCCAGCCCCGGTCTGTGGCGCGGGTCAGCTCTTTCTGCTCCGCCGCTCGAGCTTCGGACGTGTCGTTTTTGGCGGGCGTGTCCACTATGGGTATCGTGCATAGATGTTTCTCGCCATGGGAGTATATGAATTCGTAAGTTTCGTGTTCGGGATCGAAGGAATGCTCTGCCCGGGAGCTGTCTCCATTGCTATCGGATTTTTTCTCCAGGTCTACGCTGTTTGTAGTCGAGCTCTGGGGAGAGGTGGATTTGTGGATAGCAGAAGAAGCCTGCTCAACTAAGAGGCTCGCCTCGACATCCGAGATAAAGATTTCCGAGAAAACGACTTCGTACTGGAGCTGTTAGCTTTCTAGAGCAGAGCAGAGAGGGGGGGGAGGGGGCGTTTTTACTTGAGGGAAAGCCAGCAAGTCATCGTGGACGCTGAACACGGTCTGACTTGCCTGGACTACAGGGAGGAGCGATGCCAGCAAGGCTGTAATGAATGATTGCATCGTGCCATTCGAGAGAAGTCAAGTAGTCGGATGTCTGTGAGAGATTCGAGGCTGAGAGTTGGAGTGTAGAGTCCAACTGGCATCATGGAAAGACGATAAGATAGCGGCCTGAATTCTAAGGAGGATTTCTCGTAAGCGAAGACGCTGCAGTAGAGGGATGCGAGGATGAGGTTAAAAGTCAAAGTAGAGTCGCGAACGAATTTCCGCTTTGCAACATCCGACATTCAACTTCCTCCAAACCTGATATTCTCATCTTCACCTTCGGCGTCAGCATGTTCGAGAGCATTTGGATGGTCAGATTGATCCAAACTTCCGGCTCATTGTTCAACGAAAAGTGCGTCTAACATAGTGCGTCTAACATAGGCAACTGAGAAGTTCTGGAGAAGTGTGCCCTAGGCCATAACTGCAATAGTACCTGGCAGAGGCTTGCAGCGTTCTTGAGATCTCAAAGACATGCTGTTCAAAGACATGCCATTCATGCGGCTCATACTTTGTACACCGATCAACTTTCTTTTACTGTTGCTCTTTGCGCCCATCAGAGTTTGGTCCTCCCGGGCTTTTATGTTTTTGTCTTCATGCTCTTTCGCCAATTGAATGCTGTTTATGCCGGTACAATTGCAATGTACCGAGCGAAGAAGGAAGCCCGGAGGTTATAGTCCTTATTCAATCACGTATGCTATATTTCAAGTCTTTCTTCATGTTCTGTCGAAATAGAGCACCGCTTATGAGAGTTGCCTTGCGATCCGTGCCGATACAGTTGCTATCGCAGCCGAGCTTTTTATCTCGCGTTAGATCGTTGAGCATATTGTTGGTCCATGGACAAACGCTAGCAGAGCTCCCTAAAACCCTTCCTGTTAGGGTGTTAATACTGGAGATATTATCGTGCTCAAGGTGTAATGCTTCGATGACTTAGACTTCATTCATACGTCGACTGGTCAGAGCGAGCGAACGATGTCCTTTTTTTTAGATGCTTTTTATCTGCTTGCACCAAATCTCGCAATCAAATTTCGAAAGCAGAAACCGACCCTCTGCCCTATAGACCTGTCTAGAACATACGGCGCGTCGAGAGAGCCAGCTATTCAGTTAGGCTACGATGTGCCAGCGAAGCATTGGGCTCTGCGGCATTGAGGCCCAGGAGAATGCGAAACCTTGTGATACCTTTGCAAAAAGATTCGAACTGGTCCCGCCTGACTGTGCTGTAAGATACGTCGAATGATTGTCTATGCAGCTCCGATACTGCCCATGGTTGGTGTATGGCTTGAGGTTGTGACTGGTTGCAAGCAATACCATGGAGCAGATGGCCGGGTGTGGGAGTACCGGTAGGAGACTGGAGACTGGAGACTACGAGGCACCTTTTGTCAACGTGGCTGGCTATTGTGGGTGGAACATAAAGTTGCGAGTCCTTAGTCCACATCGAATCCTCTGCGTTGTCGAATAACATCAGCTGGCGAGAAGTGAGGCGGACAAGCGCCATTGCTTCCTTTTCTTGAATGAGATGTCTGGATCGCTGATTCGTCGCTTCACTGTCGCTGTCGACAGGCACTGCACTGCGGTGTGAGTTGATAGGAATGAGTTGGCGTGCGGTGTGCTGGGCCCGAGTCCCGACCATCTACAGGCATTACCGTAATAGACTTCCCTTGCAGCGTAGCCAACCACTAACATTCCCCGGAAACAACACTGCTGCTAGCGCTCTGGCCACTCAGATCGCTGCTTGTGCCCCGACAGTAGGGCACAGGCCAGGGATCAACAGCGACAAGAAAGCGTCAAGAAAGCGTCAAGAAAGCATCGCGGCTCACGCCGTCATCCTTACCCATCCACCCTCTCTATCTGCCCCATCAATAGCCTTCACCATTCCAGGTTGCATCAGATACAACGTTAGTACAGTAGCTGGCAGATCCCCCTTGATCCAATACATACTTTGTCTTTCCTCTTCGCCCTGATCTTCATCCTTCCTTTCGCCTTACTTTGACGGAATCCCAAGCACCACCCGGTGCCCCATCACATATCCTACCTCCTCCGCCCTGCCCGAAACCACAACCGCACGAGGAGCGAGATATCCCCACTCTCTTTGTATACGCAAGAGCCTTGTCCACCTGTAAGTTCTGTAGATCCCACTCGGTCACCCATCTGCTCGTTTCTAGCATGTTTCCTACTGTTCGCTGACACGGCGAGGCTGCAGACGTTACAGCTCATTTCTCGAGGTGGAAACTCCCACGAGAAGGTAGGCCCATAGCCTCAAGATGGCCTCAACCCTATGGGACAGTACATCCATGGACTGTGAGGACTACGAGCCAGAACAACGGCGACAACTCCTTTTGGCCCAGCGGGCCGTGATGGAAGCAAAGACAGCAGCGCTTGACGCCGAGCTTGCTTCTCTCCTCCCATCCTCTTCCCAATCCTCCCGCCAATACCACCGCTCTCCCATACGCAAGCACCACCAGCAGCATCGAAGTAGCAATGTTCCTCGAAGCATGCCTTATAGCGTTGTTCCTGCGATGGCCAGACATCACTCTGTAGGAAGCACCTGTTCGCCTTGTCCGCCTTGCTCTAACCTCAAGCAGGACCTGAACGACATGTCGCAACGTCCGAGAGCCCTTTCACAGCGCTCGGCATCGTCGATGACACGAGCAAACTCAAGAGGCAACTCTTCCCAGCGCGCCAATGTTCCTTTCACCCAAAATGGAGCGATACCTCCTCCACCCCTGAATTCGGTTCCACAGAACTCCGCTATCATGGACTGGGTCGCCCAAGAACAACCCTATACTGCATACACCTACTCCCAGACCCCCCAACTCCAGCGATCAACATCTCAGAGGAACTCGAGTCTTGAAAAGGTCCCAGAGCTCGATTCTGTAGGAGAGAACCCAGGCGACTATATCACTCGAAAATTGGGTACAGCGGGCAACTCGCCGTCAATTTCCATGCCATCCTCGGCAACATTCAACAGCAACAACCAACTCCCCACAAGTTATTTGAACACGCAAACGCCCTCGACTCCCACACTCGACTCTGCGACGACACTTACAAGCGAAATGAGTCGGCACAATAGTCTCTGCACGGGACTCGAAAGTATGCAGATGAATCTCACTTCGAACTACTCACATCCCACTGATCCATACCCCGATCAGTCCACGAATGATCATGGTACTGGTTTTCCATCCCCTTGTCATACTCGTCGTTCTTCAGACGAGGAGCAATCTCAGCTTCTTGTTGGTACTGGTGGTGCAAGTCACGAGTCCCGGTTTCCTAAATTCTTTCAAATTTCGTCTCGTGGCTCACCTGGCGAAAAGATGGAAAAGTCTCGGTCAAATGAAAGTATTTCATCGTCCGGCTCATCATCGTCGTCGTCTCGAAATGTCAAGCGCCTGCAAGATCAGATCAATATGGCTGCAGCACGGCCGATCATGCCCAAGGGTGGTGGCGAAGGCATCCCAATGACTCGAGAAGCTTCATCGCAGTCAATGGCACGAATCGGGTCGAAGGACGGCTTACAAGACAAAGTTGCCATCTCAAAGCCTACTTATCAACGACCTAAACACGAGCGCGTCTACTGCGATCAATGCGATACTCATCAGGATGGGTTTCGCGGCGAGCATGAGCTGCGGCGCCACGTAGACCGAGAGCATAAGACGACGGTCAAGAAGTTCGTCTGCATTGAGCCGACAGATGGCGGGCATCACCCGGAGCCTATCGTGTCACTCTCGCGATGCAAGGCATGCACTCAGCAAAAGAAGAAGTACGGGGCGTACTACAACGCTGCTGCACATTTGCGCAGAGCTCACTTCAATCCTAAGACTAAGGGGCGGTCGAAGAACCAGCCGAAGTCGGATGATACTAATAAGCGAGGTGGGAAGGGTGGCGGGGACTACCCACCAATGTCCGAGTTGAAGTTCTGGATGAAAGAGGTGGAGGAGAAAGTCACCGAGTGCCTCACTGACGCCCAGCAAGAAGCGGCTGATGCATCCGACGACGAAACTCCCGACAATTCTATCGACGAAACTACCTACTCCCGTCAACCAATGCAGGCTCTAAACAGCAATTTCATCTTCGACGACGCTTTCCTCGTTGATACCTCGCCAATCGCCAACCTCTACCCATCGTCACTCGATATTAACAGCAGCGACATCTTTGGTATGCAAACCATGCCTCTCGACCTGCCTGGTACTGCTCAGCAAACTCATTGCTTAGACCCGTCCATGCACTTGTCAAAACAGAGCAATTTTCCTTATTTCTCAGACCCTACACATATCGACGCTATGTCGGCATTCCTAAATTCTTCTCCTCTCCCTCCACAAAGCTTCGAAAACTTTGCGGGTTGGGATTAACCTTGCTGTCATCTTCCGATCAGCCGCATGATCATTTCTTTTCCATGTATCAAATTTCCTTCTCCCTTCTATCCTGTCATCTGATATTTGTGCTGCGGCATAGGGTATGGTAGTATGGTTTTTTTTTATTTCTTTTTTCCCCTCTTTCTTCTTGTCTATACTCCATTACCAATGTTTTTCGTAGATACTGCGTATTTCACCCCGTCGCTTCGTGACGGAGTGAATCCAGCATTCTCTTCGAATTTCTACGGCCTCTTGAATGCTGTCTCTCTTGGGCTGCTGGGCAACCAGATATCTTCGGGTATGATTTTACGAAAGATGATGTGTGGCTATGAAGGATGGATGGGTGCTCGGTGGAGCTGGCAGCGTTTAGGGCAGACATGGTTTGCACTGCCGGTTGTCATCGGACGACTATGACCGAGGCGGGCCTTTGCTTATGCTCTACCTCAGTAACAATACATAAGATTTTTTTACATCACTAATGCGCTGTCTTACTTTCGTGATATCAGGAGGAAGTCGGCGAGGGAGTATGGTGGTGGTGGGCTAAGCCAGAGATCATATGATTCGGAATCAAAACCAAAACGATTGAATGAATGATCCGGATCTGCACTGCGCGCCCCATAAGCCTCCGAGTTGTAAGAGCAGGAGGTTTGAAAATGGCAAGAGAAAGATATGACACAGGTAACTTTAACGGGACGGATGTTTTTCTTCATTTGTCATTTTTATAAAACGTTATGAATGAGTCATGGAATCAATCCACCACTAAGTGGAAAAATAGAAAAGAAAAAAGAGTAAGCTGCTACGTAGATGTGCAAATACCGAGAGCCTGTAGAGTAGGTAGTAGCTCAGACAAGCAGCGTAGCGCACTGACTTCCGTATTTACTCTAGGAAAAGGATGCCCGCCGGGCCCCCGCCCGCCGCCGGCGCGCCGCCTCTCGTCTTCGTCTTCGGATCTCTTGAAAGTCCGAACCCCCGCAATATTGACTTGGTTGATTCGAATGACTAATGTAATAATCTGTGCGCGGCCCGCTCGCTGCCTTGCCTGTTGGTGGAGCATGAGTTCGCACTTCACATGCCTCAACATCCACCTTAAGGCTTAAACTTTTAATGCCGCTCTACTCCGTATACGGTACTCGTATCGAATACGTAGTGAAGTGTTTTTTTGTATACTGTAGGTAGGGCTTACGCGGTTAATATACCCCATACATACTCCGTACAACTATAATAATTGGGAGAAAACTTTACGTACCATTTGCTTCGCTTGATTATTGTTGGCTTGAGCCTTGAGGAAGGCTTAAGCGAGCAAGCCAGTGGACACAACGAGCAGAGCTACTTATTAAAAATATAGGTAGGAAGGAAGGTAGGTAGGTAGGAGAGTGGTTTCAATGGCCTGTCCTCTGACATTCTTTTATAAGATATGAGTCGATTAGGTAGTAAGTATTACACAGTAGAATGTTTTAAGTTGGAGCTAGACTTGATTCAAGAGTAAGTCTATTAAATAGACCGTCCTCGACCGTCCTATTGAAAGAGACCTGCCAGATTTTCAAAACGCGCTCATTAAAAAGCTCGGCTTAAACATTATAAACAATCTGAAGATTATTCAAATTAAGATACGGTTGGAAGATCCTGTTAGAAACCCTTCTTTTAATAGTACCGTATTTAGTTTTTGATTCTCTACGGAGCGTCGATGCCAAGAGATTTTCTCGGGACTCTATCGCTGCTACGCTGCTACGGGTTGATGTATTAACGCTCTTGAAATCTCTCATTCAAATCGGAAACGAGAAAGGATCGAATTAAGGGAAAAAAAAATCCACCCTGCTACAGTTTGCTGGCTGCGACCGCCTGTCCAGAAACCTCCCCATGGCCCTCTACGGTAACAGATGCCAGGAAGAAAAAGCCAGCGACGCTTGACTCTACTCTTGTTCTGCTTGTGATCAAAAGTAAGTATCTTTGCGAACCGCAGATCGCAGTTAAGAGCGGTTTAATTAATCGATCAACATCTGCGTTTCATCCGCTCCTTTTTGACTTCTCTACAGAGTGTAACTGCGGAACATCTCCTCGCGATTCTGCACACAAACAGAGACTTTTGCGAAGAAGCTTCTTACCTTTTTGCCTCCGATCTCTGTACTATCCCCTCCCCCCCACCCAATGAATCAATGTCGGACGCATTTTAGCTCCATAAATTGTAGAGCGGTGATTTTTGAACGGCTTCAAGCCCTGTCAACTCCATTGCACAGACGGAATACTGGCTCAAAGATACGTAGTACTACGTACCACTCCGCCCCCCCAAATTGCTACCGCCTTGAGGGGGCCTCAAAAAGTTTAAAATCTCCACTTTAAAGCCCCTGGTTACCCTACCCTCAGGGAGCAACACTTACGCCTGTGACGTTGTACCCTTTTCAAGGCTGAATGGATTCTTATCCGTTGATCGGTTTTAAAGACCTGGTAAGATCCCTTGCAACAGTCTTACTTTCGACGTGTATTCATGGGGGGGAGAGTAGTTCTCGTCGATAAGGTGCGAGGTGGACGGAGGACGGCCCGGGTTTTATATTCTATTTTACTTTGCTTTACGCGCACGGGGGGGGGGGGGGAGCGTTAGCTAGCATGTACTACCGGTACTACAGTACGTATCTGTAGGTAGCGGCATGCGAAATCATGATCCACTAATACAATGTCGGGCGAGGCATGGGAAATCTTCTGGCCTGTCTATCTGCTTCACCGGCGGGCTCGGTACTCGGCTAATCAACAGAAGAAATATGCCAATCCTTTTTTCTTTTCCCTTTCCTCTTTTTTTTTCTTTTTTTTTTCTTTTGGAATTTGCCGTGCCTACTTCTTATCTCTGGTGGGGGGTTGATCCGGACCTTTTCTTTTTTCTACTCCGTATAATTCGTACTCTAAGGGACAAAAAAAAAGAAAGAAAAAAAGGTGTGAACCCAGGTTTGAGATTTCGTTTCCGTATCACCGGCTACCTACCTGATGTCAATAAGGACAAGGCAAAGACAAGAAAGAGGTGGAGCTAGCTTCCGTACAATATAATCTTGTCTTTTCTGAGACAAGGTATAATAAAGTCAAGGTGGTACTGCGATTTACTACGTACTACTACATACTACGTCGCAGGCGTAAGTATTACCCCTCGAGGGTAAGGAAAACAGGGGGTTTAAAGTGGAAACCAAACTTTTAAGGCACCCTCGAGGGGTAATACTTAGGCCTGTACCGTGGTACAACTAGTAGTAGTAAGCAGCTTTCAAGTTTGTTTGGTTAGTTGCAAATTATGTATAATCAAACTCTCTTTGATGAAATTCGAAGTGCACCTTGCGCTATTATAAGTAGTATTTGCATTTCAAGGAGGGACGGGATGGAGGGGTGTGATACTACCGGTATTATCAGGTAATAATAGGTAAAGTACGGAGCCAAGTAAGATAAGGTTTTTTTTTAAAAAACTCATTGGATGTTGAAGAGGAGCAGGAGGAGGGGCATAGGGAGAATGGTAGTAATACCTCGCATGTGCAGCTGCGTGATGCCCGAAATGGTGTCCATCCCTTTTACTCCACCAACAATTGATAGAATGCTATGCAAATTGTCATGCTGTACGGATGACTGTATGGTGGTGGGGAAGAAGGGGGAAACATCTGTAGAGTTTAATGACGGAGTGTACTAGTATGTTTTCATACAACTATATTCATCAGCCGATCACGGAGGAAGGAAAGAGTATGATTTTCGACGGCTGAAGAAGAGTTCCGGATGATTTGATGATGATGATGATGATGATGAACGTTGAGGTTTCTTGAAATCGCATGGATGTTTTTTGGTATTCTTATTTAGCCCCCTTATGGTTCAAGGACTGTGGGTCCGGTATACATTTGGCAATATACGTAGTACTATAGTACTACTACCGTACGGAAATTATAATGCACGGTCTGGCGCAATCCAATGACGACGCGGAGGGAGATAGCATCAGAATCGGCATTCTAAATATATAAACCGCATTTTCATCCCTATCTGTGCTCATCTTCATCGTAATCAGTTGTGACGGAAAACCGTCGCACGTGTTATTTAGTCACATACGGAAAATTAGGCATTGTTAGTGTTCTTATGCGCCCCTCTTCGCTGTCAAAAGAAGAAGGGAACACGCTGCTCCCTTGCTCTTGTGTGCTGCGAGTATATTATGTATGCTGCTGTGTTATGCTTGGAGGGAGGTGCAGGGTCTTTTGGTCGGACGGTGCTCCGCTTATCAACGTCGAATTTCCTTATTTCCTACAATCACTCGGCGCTAAAAAGATGACAAATGAATGAGAGTGATGGAAGCTGGACCTAGTCACGAAATCTCGACTTCGACTGACGTACTACTACTACTACTACGTAGGCCTACCTAGCTGCTCTGAAAATAGTTCGTGCGACTCGCTCGGAGTCGCGGGAAGGGTCTCATCTCATTTAGTTTGGATTAGCATGTCCGTACGGAAACTCGCGTAAGCTCGCGTAAGCTCGCGTAGCACTCGCGCCAGGCTAGTTTCTGTTCTAGAAGACTCGCAGACCTCCGTACCGTACGTAGATAGGCAGGGCCCGAGTTTGATGTACTTGCTATTGTACATATAGTAGTACTACTGCCAATCTGTCCCTGATGCAGCATGAGATGAACACATGAGATGATGAATTGTTGGTTGACTAATCTGACTCGTCCCTGGCTAACGTTTGAGGTTGAACGGAGTCAACAATGTCATCCGAGCGTGGTGGAGATACCGCCCGGAGAATATGCTTTGGCGCTGACTTTTCCACACAACACGAGAAAAAGGGGCGGCGGCGGGCGTGTGTATCTGTAGATCTGTACACAATGTGTGTGCGACGCCCTTGCCCGCTCTGTCCTTATCCAAGCCAAGGTCTGAAAGTCAAAATGGGAGAGAGAGAGAGAGAAAAAGAAAATAAGATGTAGTTGTAAATAGGACATGTTTACGATCATCTTTGTAACCGCAATACGAGAAATGACAGTCCGTATATCATACATACATTTCTATAAATTTATGTCCTGATGGACGAGTTCGGTCAGTCTGTTATCGGATCCTGGTCTCTTGGAAGTATTGAATATTGACTGCATGGGGGCATTCCCCCGGTATGCATCAGGGCATCGAGAGCATCGAGAGAGATTCCAGCGAACTGACTGGCTGTGCGACCGGTTGTTGTGGTCCCTTTGTGTTTCTTCTGCACGGCCGCTCGGGGATGCAAGGGCAGGGACAAGGACAGGCCAAAGGCAACTTGGACCTGAGTCTGGCCCGATTGACGACGCGGTACCCAGCCCAAAGAAAAAGGATGCCATGCCCCGGGATAATCAAGATCCAAGGAACCTTCGTGCAAATCGATCCCAGTACAGTACGGTGGAGTACGGATAGAAGTGGATGGAGGCGAGCCGATGTCCTGTACAGTACCTATACGATCTCTGCACACTCACACTCTTTTTTGTCGAATCCATCCATCCATCAACAAATACATAATCCGGATTCCGGGACCCAGGAGACGCAAACACCTTCCTTGGAACCTCGAATCCCACCGACACTCGTTTAACCAACTACTAACCTGTTTACGAATCGATGATCGTTCGAAGTCAACGGATTACACGGAAGTGATTCTTCGGCAGAGCAGGAGATAGGAAGGAAACAAGAGACAACCTCAACCATCCGATCGAGGACTGAACGCGATTCCAAAAAGGAACGATCCGACACTGCAACCAGATAATCACACTCCTTGTACCTGCTTTGATCATATCACCCTTAGGATACTGGGACGAACAGCTTCGTCGACTCGGTGCGACTAATGCTGGAACCACGGTTATAAACATTTCAGGACCTCACCCAATTTAATTTCAACTCGGAACCGTTATATACACTATGGGGGACGACGGGAAATCCTATACATCTTGCTCATTGTCGGCATTCCCCAGTCCGATATTATGGCCCTCACCGGACCACGGTAGCTTCACTGCCCGAGCATCGACACAGCCATCACGTCGTCGAAGGTCTTCCAGGTCCAATTCCAAATCCAACCCCAGCTCCCAAAGCCTCTTTCGCCTGTTGGCAATCTTCTCGTTCTGCTTTACGTTGTCTTCCGCAGCGCCTGCAAGATTTGTCGGGGAGCAGTTGCTCAAGGCCCAATCAGCCGTTTCAGAGCCGTTGGGATCGACATTCGAACGCCTTGCTCGTTCGGGCACAATTCTGGTTGATCGAAGACCAGCTCCAGTACCTGACAACAATTGGTCTCCAGAACTCGACCAGCCCGTTGCTGATCTCCGACCTCGTGCAGCTGCTGCCCTTGCTGAGAACCCCACAATCACACCGACAGAGGCGCCAGCAGAACCAAACAGTGGCATTGTTGCTGATAAAACGCCTACCCCTGATAGCTTTCCTCACCCTTTCGATATGGGGTTCAGCAATAACATCACTACCGAATGCCAAACCTTCATGGACTCTATGTTGAGTAACAGCTCATTCCGCGAATGCCTTCCTTTCTCTATGCTGCTCTCGGTTTGTGCTCCCTAATTGCCGCTTGTCATACCCTTCTAACCTCGCATCACAGAATTCCAATTCCTTTTTCCAGGCCTCCAAGTCCTTAGTCCGAATCACTCAAATTCTGGACTATTCCTGCGCTGCAGAATTCACGGAATGCAGCGCCCTCATGTCCTCATTCGCATCCAACATTACCACGTCAGACAGCTGCGAATCAGACCTCAAACTTCAGAATCCTCTCATTCAAGACGCACTCCTCGGCCTCAAAGCCTACAAGACGCTCTACACAGCCTCGTGTTCGCGTAATCCGGAAACGTCTTCATATTGCTTCGCAGACTCCATCACCAACGTCACGAACCCGACCGACTCGTACATCTACTTCCTGCCCCTGAACACCTCGCTGGTAGGCGGCAGCCAGCCGACATGCGATTCCTGTTTGCAGACCACCATGGGGATATTCGAGGCCTCGAGCGCCGATCGAGACCAAGCGCTAGCCAATACGTACGTCCCGGCGGCGAAGCAAGTCAACGTAAACTGCGGGCCGGGTTTCGTCAACGCCAGTCTAGCCGAACCCATAACCTCCCCGGCCTTCGCCTTGAAACCGCCGCCGAGCGCGGTGAGCTTAGTACTTGCTCTTTGCGCCATACTGATGACATGGCTGCTGTAGTAATATGACGAGAACCAACCAAACCGGGTGTCTCACCGCTGGGAGAGAGAGCTTTGCATGCGCATGTCTGTCATGCATCAAATACGATTCAGTTTTTTGGAATCGGGAATCGGATATCTGAGAATGGGGGATTGGGGGCCGGCGTCTACATACCCTCGGAATCCTCATTCTACACGGCGTTTTATACATATACATACATACATATATCTTCCCGCTCTCAATACCAAGGGAGCGGGAATCGATCTGGGATTACGCTGTTGCGTCACTTACTACTTTCTAATCCGTATCATTCTTTTGTTATTCTGCTGGGAAGAGAGTGGGGGAGGGGCGAGCAAAGCCCTTCGATGATGAGGAGGAGGGGAAAAAATCGAGACAGGAAAAGGAGAGAAGAGGCCAGGAGGAGAGCCGCTGGCCAAGTCGAGAGGTTCCTGGGGAGGAGGGGACCAGACCAGATGATGGATGGAGGTGGATGTGAACGAAAGAAAATCCGGATGCACGACCTGGGGTTGACAGCACAGCACAGCATACCACGCACTACGAAGAGAGAGAGACAGAGAGAGAGCGCACTTGCCACCAGCTTTAAGCAAGACCCTCCTCATGTACATAAAAACACATATTTCTCTCCATGACGAACGAATGGTTACGACCTTGATCTTACCTTTCTCTTAGCCTAAGTCTCTGATTCTCCGCTCTCGCTTGACCCCTTAAAAAAACCCTCATTCATTCCATTCCTTTCTATTCCAAGCATATTAAACAAATTCAATCTGTAAATAATTGCGCGGCAATCGCTCACATAACTCACTCCTTCACCTATCTTTTAATCGCGATTGTAAGCGCTTTAACCGGACTCTTCCTGAGCTTTTTCTTTGTATTTTTATATTGCAATGTTCTCGAAGCGAGAAAGCGGAAAACGATCTGCTGTACCGTAGATGCATACCTGTTCGCATGCATATCATATTTACTTATTTCCTACCATTCCATTCCTTCCTTTTCGTATATGCATAGCATTACTTCCTATTACGCCTGTAGGGCAACTAACTACTACTACTACTACTTACTTACTTACTACTAATCCCCCCCCCATGAATAAAGAGCAGCAATTCCAGGGTTGCACGGACAGAATTTTGCTGTGTTGTGGCTCGTGCTACCCTTGGGATGCCGCCCTCTGTTCATCAGGGGGTAAGTATGTACAAACACTATATACCAGTGGTACAGCGGTTTAGTGTCATAAACCCTCGTCGACCCACAGCCACTGTCTCTAACCTAATTGGGTTCTGTTAAAATATGGATCTTCAACATGTTCGTGCCTGGCGATCACGCTATTGCCCAAGTGGGTTAGAAATAGTATAGTCGCCGTGGGTCGACGATGGTTACGACACTTAACCGCTGTTACCTCCGTATATCTTATATGTATTATGCAGTTTTACGCAATTTCATGTACTCGGTTTTTCTAGAAGTCCCGACTGAACCATGGGCAAAGGGGCCTCTGTCAGTTACGCCGTGGACAGGGGGAAAGAAAGACTACCGATAGGAGAGCTGGGTGAGATCTTATTGAATAAATGGAGATAAATGGAGATAAATGGAGATAAATGGAGAATTGACCGCCAAGATGTCTCTAGAAGAGTTACTACGTAGGTATCTTCCTGTAGTTCGTTCAGGCTCCTGGAACAATAGAGTACGGAGTAAGGTAAGGTACGGACTTATTGTCGTTAGGTGGGGAACTTTACTTGTATATATATATATATAGGTATACTCCGTATATACTATACCTTTGTGTATGGAATACGAGACTAAAGACTTCCGGCGAGGTTAATATATTTATGTATCTGTCTATCTATCTTACTACGTATCTCGGAGACCTAGCCAGGTCAGTCATCGCGAAGATAACTTCACAGCAGAATGGAAGCATATTCTTTCAAAATCCAATTTTTTTGGCTTCTGTTTTGTTTTGTTTTTATTGTCAGGGAGAATTGTGGAAGGATAGATAGAGTTGATACCTGCGTCATGCTATGCCACGCCCGGTCATGCATGCATCCATCCATTCCATTTATCGATTCGATGGATATAACGTAATAGTAAATACTACGTAAGAGTTGACCTTACGGAGTGTAACCTTCCCTAAGTGAGGCATACCGAAGTCGGATTCGGATTCTCCGATTAAAGAAAGAGACTTTTACATTTTCTTTACGTACCTCGTAACGCCACGGAGTAGATTTACGGAGTAGATATACAGACCTCTTCTTTTTTTCCCCTTCTGTTTCCTTTTGATTGTTTGTTCTAGGGTATGACGTAACGTAACGTATCGTACGAATCGAACATATTATACAGTGATCGAAAGTCGGTTTCATTTTCATACTAGCTTTAATGTTATTGTTATTATCGTTATTGTACGTAGTATTTGTTAGCGTCGGGCGGGTATCGAAAACGCAATGCTCAGACCAAAAGACCGCTTATAAGGTACGGCGACGTATTAAATAAAAGAATTATCTACAAATTATTATCTAATCAGACGTAGAATCTACGCTAAAGAAAAGCTTTATCTTTAAATAGCTCCGGGTTTGTGATCCCGCGGCGTCGCAAAGTCTTTATAAACCTTTTAAAAGCATTTTATAAGAATATGCTTCGAGTTTTTTTTCTTTTCGTTAATTATCGAATACGTATAGCGTTACGGGCGGCTTCGATCCGTATAAATCCAAACATCGTTCTCTTTTATCGTAAAGCTAAAAATAGCTTCCCTTCGTAGCCTTTATATAAAGCCGGTATATTTGCAAAACGCTTTTACGAAAGCGCAATATCGTGTTTCCGATAAGTCGAATTAAGCTTTTTCTATCCCATCTATCACATCCGTTCCTATTCTATCGCAAATCCTCTTGGTCTTTTCAATCGGTATGCCCGTCAGGTATAGATCGTAATCGGCGTGATATTCGAGAAGAAGGAAGAAGGAAGTTCGGAACCGCCGGTGAGAGAAGTTCTTTTCGAAGAGACGTCGCATATCGATAATTCAATCTCGGCTTTCTAAACTCTTTGCCGCAAGAGAGAGCTGAAGGTTCGTAAGAGGCACCTCGTACAGGTAAAAGATCATAGCCTCCCTAGCTTTTAGTGTTTGAATACCCTATAAGTAGTTTTTTGATTTGGTTTTCTTTTGATTGATTTACGAAGTACTACGTCCCAGGTGTAAGTATTATCCCCCTGAGGGTAGGGTTACCAAGGGGCTTATAGTGGAAACTAAACTTTTGAAGCACCCTCAAGGGGTAACAATTACGCCTGTACCGTGGTATCAGTCTTATCGGAAAATGCAACATGAATTTGAAAGTTCCCGTGGCGTACGGAGGCGTGCATGCATGCATGCATGCGAGCTTGAATCACATTGCATAAATCATGTTTCGGAAATCGGGCGATTTAAACTTCGATAGAAGTCGGGACGGACGTTACCTCGGTAGGTCTTGGGGGATTAGTAAGGCTGGGGAATAGGGATGGTTTGTTTATTTTCAGGTGGGTACGGAGAGTAACCGAGTCTGGAATGTGAGAAGCAGTCCGTAGAATTAGGAGGTGATTGAGAGAGGTTTTGGATAGAAATTGAGTTGGCCAACTTTAACCTTGAGATATTTGTGAATTTGGATTTTCTCTTGCTGACGGACGTGGGTTGCTGATTCTATATATGGAAATTGGGATGTTTGTACGTAGTATGTGAAGATGGTAGGATATATATTTCCTTGATAACGGATTTCTATTCTGTACATTTATTAAAAGTTATTTTTTTAATCGTATGATAGATACGGACGGATCGTTGTATCTGTTATTAAAAAAAAAAGAAGAAAAAAAGAAGAAAACAAAAGAGCTAGGTAAAGGAAGCAGTGGAAGTGTGTGTACTGGTTGGAGTGACTACTTGTCTGATCGGATTCTGCCTCAAGGTTCGATGATTCATCTCGTCTCAGACTTAAAAGTCGTGCCCATAGACTTCTCGCAATCTCTTGCCTTGCGTAAATTATATATTTTACTTAAAGCTAGATACGGTAGCGGCGGTTTGATTCTATGCTAGCTATTTATATACCCCCCGCTTAAGCGAAAGCCCCTTTCCTCCCGTCGGCTAGCTAGGTACATCGAGAAGATCGCTTATCGATTTTACTGATACTTTATTGCCTATTATTTGGCTCTAATTTTCTCAGGAAGCGAGATTTGTACACACTGGTCAGAGAATACTCTTGACATAGAGGGGAGATGCTATAGCAGCATCGCATTTGATACGATGCACCTCATGCAGTCACCTGCTCTCCATTAGTGCTGTAGATTCTCCTATCAGAAGCAAAAGTTGTGGCCAACTTAACATTTGCAGCCATACCGCATGCTGGAGGAGAGATCTCCATGCACTCGTTATCCTTTCCCACGTATTTAGAGGAGTGGTTTTTGCCTTTTTTTCGCCCCCCCCCCCCCCCCGTTCTTTTTTTTTTTTTTACTGCAAGCGGACCTAACGACCGCTAAAGATTCATCGTCGGTAGTGCAATCACTTTTCGAACAAAACCATTCCGTGCTCGCTAGACGAATTCAATATGATATAAGGTATCCGCCAACTCATAGTTGATCATTTGCACGTCCTATCCAGCTCCGTGCATGTTCTACTACTGCCAGCAAATTCAGCAGAGGACGGCGACGCTATTAGTACTTCTAGCAAGGTCAAAGTCAGCGCTAAGCTGCGTCCCCTACCCTAGCAATAGCACTCGAACTCCATCTGGGCGGGCGAGAGATAATCGAGCCAATACGTTAATCTAGAGGAGTTTCTGATCAATCTGCCTGACGAAAATCCCCCGTCCGCGCTCTTCTCTGCAGAAACCATGGATGTATACGATCTTTGACGTTCGATTGGGACCTTGTTTATTCCCTTTTCTGTCGATTTTGTTTCTACCTCTTCGGTCTTCGGACATACACCCGGCCGACCTCGGTCCGGCCTCGACTCCTATCGTTGTACAATTCGCAACCGCTAGGCTTCTAAAGCTCGCGATGGCCCTTGTCTCACCGGTTTTTCTACCTTACTTGAGTCTTCTCTTTTTGTGATCCATCCTATCTGTGGAAATATAAGGCATAGGCATACAAGGTCACGTGGCTACACTAGGTAGCCGGCCTTGGCATCACCAGCATATAGTCCCTCAGCTAGTACAGCTGAGCCTCTTCAGACTTCACGAATACAATTGGTACCACCATAATATTCGTACTTATCACTCGGTACCTGTGATACCGATACTACCCATAGGGGAAGGACGCACTTGATGGCAGTCTTGCCGCTCCACCTTGACATGCTTTCTAGGGCTGTCTTGTATGTAACTCCTTGGTTCAGCACGTCGCCGTACCCCATGGGAGGTCCCAGGGCGGCAGACTTCGCCTGCCGCCCAGTACAGAAACCAACTGAAATCTGAACACCAGTATGACTTCGACGGCATAAGCATCCCGTAAGCTGAATTGGCATCTTTCATCCTACCTCTAGCGCTGTCGATTCAGCCACGAGAAGAGCTAGCTTGGTAGAGCGTGATTGCCACGACGGTGACAGCGTATGCAGTCTCCGCGCTTGAAAACGCGGGCATGGAGATCGTGAATGTGAGTTCTTCTTTAGCCTGTGTTGATATGAGGGTTTGCTGATAGCATCTTATAACCACGGAGAGAGGGCCCGCATACTTGGGTCTGGATCGGTATTGAAATCGTGGCCTATCTTCTGAAGCCGCGATTTTCAGACCCGTTCAATGGGCACCTGCCGAAGGGGTAAATCTCGAGTGCGTCGTCGACAGAAGGGCCTGAGAGCTATGAGAAATTTGAATATGTTGGTATCACAGGGTATGTGATGCAAAGTTGAATACGTATTCAGTTGTTTGAGTGTCTTCAGTTGGTTTTCAATGCCTCTAATAAGTGGAATTGTAGCTACTTATATAGCTATCGATACAAACGGAGAGTAGCAAACGGAAGTCAGTGGCCTGAAGTATTTGACTCACTTGACTCACTTGACCGAGTTGACCGCTACTCTCGCTTAGCCTTATTGGTTGCCAAAGTAACTGTACCGAACTGACCGAGGTCTCAGTCCCAACAGAATACTTCCCCATCATTGGCCTTTTTACAAGGGAGGAGAAATTTTTATTTCATTTCTCACATCCCGGAAGACGTCTATATCAACACAAATTCCTCCATTGGGGTCTGTTTGCGCGTGAAGACGCTAGCGAGCTCTGCCCCAGTGCGAGTTTCACCACCAATTTTGATATTGGGGTAAGTGCCCAGACCAAGGACCACATCGGTCGGATGCAACATGCCGATAGTCCTCCCAAATCTTCCGGTTCCCATTCTCCGGTAGACCTTCTCGCCGGGCCTTATGAACGCGTTCGGCCCCCCGTATTGCTGCCCCGGCACCTCCAGAAGAACGAGGCACTTCCCGGATATGCTAGTATCGAAGCTCACCGACAACGGCATCCACACCAGCCTCCTTGCGTTTCCGTGCCGGACGATATCGAAGCCTTCGACCGTGTCCGAGCAGAACCACAAATCGCCTCCGGTCTCTCTATCAGTGAGGCTGAGGCTTTTACCGTCGCGAGACCCGGATTGGACGCCGTTCAGATGCCCGCGGACGCGAATCCAGCCCGCTTTGACAGAGCCGAACTTGTAATCCGTGGCAAGCTCCACATCGGCGCCGAGAACTTCGCCCAGTGGGATGGTCGTCGCCGATGTAACCGTCCAGAAATGGCGAGGTTGAACGCACGCTTCGACCGAGGCCCAGCTCCAGCTCGGCGCGACGTAGCCTTCCTCCCCAACGACTTTCCGCGCAGGTGTCTTGGAGCCGACGATGGTGATCCAAGACATCTGGATGAGGATGCTCACGCTCCAGAGGCCGGCGAGGTACCGCTGACTCTGCAGGATCCCAGTGCTGTCCAGCTCGCGAGCCACGGAAGACACGGCCACTAGTTTGTCGGTGTGCTTGGTGAGACTGCAATTAGAGTAGTTTGTTACGGTCGAGTGCCACTGGTAATCGAATGCCTGAATCAAGCTTTTTGCGAGGTCTTCGGTCGCCCCGTTCTGTGAGATGGTGCTCATGATTTCCTCTACCCTATGTAAAGTTCTTCGCAGGCCATTCTGCCTAGTTTAAAATGTCAGTCAAGCGATTCAGGACATTTAAAGTGACTAACTAAGTTCCATGATGCCCAAGTGGCAGGTAAAGGTTGGGGCGGGGTAAACTGACATGTACCCTCCCCATCCAGATTGCTCACAGACACTATGCTCATCGCATGACCAGTAAACGCTAGAGTTGGAGAATGCAAGGGAGCGACGAGCAAGACTGCGCTCTTGATACACCCATGCGCGAGTAAAGAGCGGAGTGTTAGAATCCGTACTCCCCTGAATGTCCTTTTGAAAATCCCAGACAAGCGGAGCTTGTCCTTTGAGCAAGACGCACTGCTTCCCCTCTTGATTTCGCTCACTGGCATTCCGACCGAGGAGGTTTGCGAAGGAGCGTCGAAAGCCAAAAACGATCCTCGTATCGCGAGAGAAGATGAAGCCATTATAGTCGGACGTAGACGAGAGAGCGGCGATGTTAAGGAAAGCAAACTTGTAAACGTCTCCCATGACGGCACTTTGGATCTCCCAGTCCTCTCGACTATCTTGCATGATGCAAAGGCTGTCAATCCAAATGTACTCAAAGTCGAGCCAGGCGCAGACAGTGATAGCATGCCGGAATGCTAATGGAAGGTCATTAACCGGTAAAGCAGCTGTCCACTTGGAGAGCGTGTCTCGCGTAAGGACACTGCCTGCTCGGCCGCCGAGGGGAGCATTTGGCTCAGGAGGAGGTCCCCAGCAGTGGGAAAATGAGAGGTAGTCAACGTGTTTCGAGGCAGAGGTGGGAAAATGTGCTGGGTTGGCCTTGAGCACAAGTCGAGCAGTCAGGGACCCGTTGTCTTTGCGTCTGACTTGGACAAGCCGGTCTGGGAACCAAGGCTCAGGCTGTTGTAGTCCATCGCTTCCAAATATTCTTCGGCACTTTGCGTGAGATGTTGCACACTCCCTTGCCCAAGAAGATACGAGGGCGAGGGTCCCTTGGCTCAGTGTTGAAGAGAAATCAAGATTGGAGATACCGTCTGTAGGCTGTTCATAACCATCAAGCGGCCCCACCAAAAGGGTATCGTCCACTTTATTTGGATTCTCGGGGGCTCTCGCAGCTGTAGCATTCCTATCGGGATATACCTTGAAGCCACCTGGCGTTATATCAACTCACAGTCTCAAGCGCGATTCTCTGATCACATACCAATGCCCCAACTGTATCCGCCCTTGTGGGTCACAGAGAATTTTACGTGCAGACGATCTTTGTTTGGCTCGTAATTAGGTAAAGTTATTGCCCAAGTCAAGTTCCAATCTGTAGACGGTGAAGTCCGCCACGAATCCTCGAATGAAACATGCGCCTGCATAGCCTTGAACAATATGAATACCTTGATGCATATCACGCACTACCCGGAATGTTATTACCAACTTCTTTAACAATCTCAGAATCGCGAAGATACAAGATTTGTATAAATCTGAGATGCGATCCTGATCTCGAAAATATTGGTTAAACAGGAAATGAGACCACTCACCTCTGTAGTGTTCTTCCGAGCGACCGCGTGGTTCATCTGAACGGCGTGTGTAAGATCCCGTATCGACCACGAGTGAGTGATGGTGAGCGGCTGGTAGTCAGTTCCATCTCCAAACCGCGATATAAAGTGGGAGAGTAGTGTCAAACATCGCCGACAGAGAGAAGTCGTGCCTTGGGGTGGGGGCGGGAAAAACAAGGTCGGGTAGAGTGCTTCGTCTGCCCTGGCGGATGTCTGTTTTGGCGAGTCTTTGATTTCGAGCTTCACAAGCGCCTTGTCAAGGAGTCGGGTCAGCATTATTGGCAGCACTTAGTTAAGAAGAACGGTAGAAAGATGGTTCTCGAGGAATGGAGGAAAGCTGAACGGCAGGAGTAAGGTGGTTCAGCCGCAGCTTGGCGGAGCTACACCCGATACTCGTCCACGTGATAAGACCACTTGGCCCTGGAAAGAGAATGCTGGTGGCCAGATAAGCAAGTAGCTAAAATTCGGACGAGATATAATCGATTGCATGGATTGCTTTAGGGATATTGCACATGATGGGTATCTAGTCGAAATAAGCGAAGCTATGGTAAACAAAGCATTGGCATGGCTCTGTATCTCCATGGGAACCGCTGACTTATTTTCGTTGAAAACAAAGCCAGTCAATCGAATAACTGCCTAGTACACCCCCAGGCAGCAAGTGGGTTGCCATTCAGTGCACGTAATCCCGCTTAAGACCCTGCAACATCCAGCCGTTTTCAGCAATCATCTTATCAAGCTAATATCTCTTCTTTAAGGAGTGTAGAGATCTACGCCGTTAAAGCCCAACTCTTACAAACCGAGTGTAATATAATCAACTGCAATCAACATCTAGGTGATGCACTAGGAAGCATGCTTTTACGAACGAACAACGGCTGCTCTTGCCAACAGCCTCATCGATCATGACTTCAGACTTGAACGATACTCCTGGCTATACGCGAGGCAGATAAAAAAAGCTCAATTTCAGTATTTATCTACGCATTAGAAATATATAACGAGGCATAGTGGATAAGACGTTTGAAAATGATGAGGGGTCAAGCTTCTACTTTCCTATCTGAGTCCCACACTTGTTCTCGCGAATTCATGCCCATGCTGCCATGCTTAGAGCTCCGCGGCGAAACATTCCCGTAAAAGAAAGAAGAAAAAAAAAGATTGGATGAAACACAGACAGAGATGGAAGGATGCATTAAGAACAATGCACGAGGATGAGCGGGCGAATGAGACTAGTTGAAATGGTCACGCTTTTATTGCCATTGGATCTCATGAATGTTTCTCTTCTTGCAATTAGCGATGGTTGATCCAGGTTTGATTCTGGGACAGTTATTCTTCAAATCTCCTTGTAGGCCCATTGAATAATTAAAGGATTTCTATCCTTCAAGACAACGTACAACTCGGTCACGCCTCTGATTGACAATTAGTTAGGGTTTATATAGAGGCTTTTTATCTCGACCCAAACTATAATTGGAATTTTGGTGTGACATTGCGGCGGGAATGAGGTTCTGCAGCCGCTCCGGAGGCGAGGCTTTACGCCAATGAGCCTAGCATAATCAAACGACGACGCAGAGTGCCGCTGCAAAGCACAAACAGCATACATACCGGAGGACAGCATTCTGGAAACAATGAAAAACGACCTTGAAGAGATACGGAATCCAAGTATAGAAAATATAACAGGAGAGATCCTTCTTCAGCCACATTTCAGCCATTCGCGGGTCAAAGGTTTAGCTCGACCGCTTTCGTCCAACATAATAAATGCCTCGCCTGCTCTCGATTCTTGGCAGAAAAGGCATGTTGCACCATGCCGCGAGGAGTAAAAGTGAGGAGCTCCCCGAATATTTCTCTAAGTTTCATCGCTTCTCTACTGGGAAATGTGAGGAGCAATGGTTTCATTAGCCTTCATCGCCGCTCTATCGACATTCGTTGCCATTGCGTTGGCTAAAGCGATAGCCGAGCCCATCACTACTCCGGCTCCTGTTTTCCCGAGACAGAATTTCGGGCAGGATATGATCGAGTACTATGCCTATGGATCTGGATGTAGGTCTTTTTGAATCAGGAGAGAAGCCGTACATATGCTGAGCAAGAGATCTAGACGACAGCGCGCGATGCAGGATAGGGTCCACATGGACGGCTTCATCGACTTACGGACGATGTTGTCCAACAAGCTTGACGTGTGCCGAGGAATATTTCATAACAAAGTGCTCTGGAAACACAGCTGTGTTCGGAGACGGATATACTTCTTCGTGGTTCGTGCCTCCTCTCTCAGGACAGGGCAGAAGGAGATGGCTAATGGGGCAACAGTTCTGGAAGCTTCAGTGTTTGCAATACGGACCAGATTGTCCAGACTTTAAGTGATGCCAGCCCGACCTTTTGGATTGGCTATGACGATATGGATTGGAGACGAACTACTACCAGACGAGGCCAGCAGCTGCTACGGCTCCGGCTCCTGTCACCTGTGAGTGTTCCCAGCCGCACCTCCTCACGAGTGAAGATAGATGATATGCTGACTTACTGTTTGCCATGTCAGCGGCCTCCAGGGGTATCAAAACCTCCTCCGCGCCTCGAGCAAACACCCCAAGGTCAACTACTCCGCTCGGTAGAGTAACCACTCCCAGATTGGTGCCCAAGTCCAAGCCCTTCACAAAAAGCATAGCATTTATCGCAGGTATTGTCGTCGACCAATCGTTTTCATCATAATCATCGCGCTGGTAACCTGGATTCTTTGCATCAAGAAGAAATCCAAAAGTACTACCCAACGCAAAGTACCACAACAGCCAGTTCTGGTGTACAATCAGCCCCCGATGGCTCCGACGCCACAAGGTTACCAGGCGCCTGCTACCGATCAGCGGTACTCTGCGGCACCGACTTACCAAGCGCATACCAGCCATTAGGTGTGCAGTCGCCCGTTGTGTCAAGTATGGGCTCGCCGCAAAGTGTGCACGCTGACAGAAAAATAGGGAATTTGACGGAGAAAAACTACTTCCCGCTTGATAAGACACCGGCAGTTACCACGAGCCAGGTGAGTAGTCCTGAGGTGGAAAAGATCAGTTAATTGATACTAACTGTACAATTATTCTAGGTTCCTGGCCCGGGAAGCAACCCGGCCTATATTTATCCGCCGCGTCCCGAGCTGGAATAGAGCCGTGAACAAGATGATGTCGCTGGCGACGACCGGTAAGTTGGTTCTATGGACCGCGTCGAGGTTTTTGTATATCTCTGGGTCGGTTCTTTCTCGGTTTGCGGAAACCCTTTCGGCAGCTAGAATGGATGCATTGGTCGGGTACCTTAATCTTCCGTAAAGATATTCTATCGTCAATGTGACATTTGGTACTTGGTAGGCTGCACATTCATTCATCCGTCTGAGACGGCGGTAATTGTGAGTTTTATGCAGAGTGTTCAGTTATGCAGGAAAATTTATTAGAGATGGTCACCCTTTTAATCATGATCTCGCTTATCGTAGCAATAACCGTCGGTTACTTTGAATTCAATTTGCGCCAGATCGGCACCACCAAGGCTTAATAAAAATTGCTATAGAAACGTGTATCAAAGATATCGAGATGCATCTATTTAGTGCAAGCCAGAGCATTTCGATATAGTTAAAATGCGACTAAAAACTGTCCCAAGTAATCAGATTTTACTTGTCCATTTTGAACATCTCAACAGCCACAACTACCAAAAAAAAACATAAGTCGACAGGAAATAAATAAATCCATTATCTTATAAAAGGAAATAATTATTGAATGACATTTGGTGGTGTAGCAAATGTATTTTTTTTAGGAAAGTCCAATCTTCGCGTTCCTCGCCTATTCTAGTATTTAAGCGGCAATTTTAAAGTATATGCATAAGCAGCGCACGGACGCGTAACGTTAAAAGCACATCAAAAGCACTATTTTTACGATTTTAATCTAGCATAATAATAAAACATTTATTCATATTTAGAATAGTATTAATTGATCATTATTGAAACCCATACTGTGCATATCTTCATACAGAAATAAGTACAATGTTATAAGTGGTTGATTTTCTATCGATTTTATAATGACGAAAATAGGTGTCCCGCCTTGGTGGTTGCGAAAGTCGGGTCAATTTTACAAGAATTATTCAAGGTAACCGACGATTAGCCGTGTATCATTCTGTCCAATGTCAAATATAAATTCAAGAAAAAAAAAAAAAGGTCGGATTGGTTAGATTGCCGGGATACTGAGTTAACTGAATCGCTGGCGAAGTGTTGCGAAGTTGATGTACAAATAAATGGATAGAAAGAAAGGGATTTGGAACTTGGGGCAGCGCGGCAATGTGGCGAAGAAGTCGCGTTCTGCTTCGGGTTAGCTTGGACCCGGCTGCGGTAAAACACTTCGGCGTTTTCGCCGGGCCCCTTTTCTCCCGACCTCAAATCATCAACACCAACACTAACACCACGCGCTCGAGTGTGTGAGTCAAGTAAAATTATCCCAAACAATGGCAGACTCACTTCTGATCTAGTCCATTGGCACTTGAATGTGCCGCCCTGCTGCTCAAGCTCTAGCATCATGTAGGGCACAGCTGCCAGTCAGAGTGCGAGAGAACGAACCTGGATCAACCAGTTCCCCGGTCTCTCACATTGCGGCGTCAACAATCAGATATCTTTTCCCAGCATTACGAGTTAGTTATGTTTGTTCTGTTTGTTATTTTTGCTGCTGTTGTACATCGTGTTCGTTTCCCTTCCTTCAGTTGATTTCGCTCGCTGCACCAATTGAGCAGGGCTCTCATTTTTCCTCAACAACAACATGCAGGACCTGGCTCACAGACGCGGGATGTTTTTTATGGCTTTGATGCCGGTCATTTCGGACGAGGGATTTTGAGGCTTGGGAGAATGAGCCCGCTTCCGAACGGCCCCTTTTACGGGCTAAGGGTTGCGAGCTTCAGATGTCATGGGATTGAGCCTGTCTGTGTCTGTTAGGTTTCGTTTCAAGATATGTCATCGGCGATCATCATCACGAACCTGATGTGGGGCATAGTTCCTTTTGCTTTTGACATAGGTCGAGCTCTTCGCATCGGAACAGCCCGTCGTCTGGCCTTCTTGTAACCGGGGCCGTGAGCCCTCCGTGCGTTCCATATGGCACTCCACCCCAATCTGAAGTCCTGCCGTGTACACTCTAAATTCGTGTTTTTCGCTCTCTGATCAATATCGAAAAAGGCTATAGCGCTCGACAGTGGATATTTATCGCTTTGCTGGTGAGGTTCGCTCAAGCCGTGGTTGAAGGAGTCAGATAATCCCTGATCCAGCGCATTGTTAATTTTTATTTTTGGCTGGGACCCTTTGCCGCTCCGCACAAAGTTCATTTCCCGACAGTCAAGATGGTTGTATAAATACCCCAAGCTTCTGGAATCCATATACGTACCAGACAGAGCATTACCTTCGTCCGCAGCATAATGTATTTTCTTCAATCGCTAAAGCCAGGAGCAATCCTTCTGCTACAGTTCGCTTTCTGGACAACCCGTGGGTCTATACTCTCTTTCGGGTCCACCAAGATATTGACTTCTGTGCAGCATCAGTAGCATTTCCAGCGCCGTCACGCAATATTACATATTCAAACTTCACACTTGCCGACCAAGACGTACCTTTGAGGATCTTACCCTTAGGAAATTCAATTACATTTGGTTATTTGAGTACCGACGGAAATGGCTATCGCAACGAGCTTCTCACAAAACTTACCTCAAACGGGACTGAAGCTCAATACCTCGGGTCTGTCAGAGCCGGCAACATGACGGACAATTACAACGAAGGCCACCCAGGCGCGACCATCGACCAAATCGCAAATTTTTCTCGGGCCAGCCTGCCGATGCGACCTAATCTGATCCTCCTGATGGCAGGCACGAACGACATGGTCCAAAATCTCTCTATCGGAGCTCCCGAGAGACTGGCGAGTCTGGTCGACATGTGCATCGCTGCGTGTCCCGATGCGGTAATTCTCCTCGCCCAACTTACGCCGTCTGCTACAACCGACGTCGAGTCTCGCATTGAGACATTTAACCCGGAAGTTGTCGCGTTGGCAAATAGTAGAGCGAGCAACGGAGCGAAAATCGCGGCTATAGACATGCCCGCCTATGTCTCGGTTGACGATCTGAAAGATGGGTTGCATCCGAATGACTATGGCTATAGCAAGATGGCAGAAGCGTGGTATGGAGGGATTCAGGACGCTGTGGATAATGGCTGGCTCACCACTCCCGCGGCTAACACCGTGGTCGGAGTGATGAGAAACATCACGACTCCGGTGGTTCTGTCGAGCGACTCGTCTCGAGGCCGACCGACCTTTGTTATATTGCATTCGCTAGTATGGCTGGCAGTGGCGGCGCTCTTGCTCTGATGATACTTCTTCACATTGTATATTTTTTTCATATCGAGATGATCGGGGTATTTGGGGTCCCGATCGCACGAAATACAGCTTTCTCAAACATCTTCTTACCCGCAGCTCCACACAGGTTGTGCTAAGCGACAACCCACGTTTTCCGATGGTGCAAAAGATGCAGAAACGCCGAAGCTTGAATCCAGTTGCCCCTCTCAGCATCGCCTAAAACCACCTCCCGATGCATGCTCTTACTTCACACGTCTTTTCGGGCATGAATCGCACCGCCTACTTCTCCCACCTCCTCTATCTCCTGCGTAGCACCCTTATCCATATCCTTCATTTCTGCATTCGCAATCTCAGCAACATCGACCGCATCCTCTCCGTCGAAGAACTTCGCAATCTCTTCCAGCGGTGTATATCTCGTCTCGATGATGAAGAAGTAGATGACAGCAACCTCAAACACAAGGAACACGCAGTAGAAGAGATAGTACCTCCAAGCCAATGCTTCGAGAGCAATTGCATTGACGTATTGGTTGAAGAACAGCGCTGCCGTGACGCAGAAGTTCATCCAGGTGAACCCTTTGGCGCGGATCCCGTAGGGCAGAATCTCCGTTGTGTACGAAGCGAGGAGTCCCGATCTGGAGGGGATGCAAGTAAGCACATTGCCGCTCAGAGGTAGAGAGGAAAGCTTACTTAAAGTCGTAGCATGTTCCATACACAAATATCATGAACACGAACGCGGCGCCGAGACTGTCCTGCGGTGCAATTGCATACCTCGCCGAGATGACCGTCCAGATCGTAAACGCCACGAGCGTACCGATCGTCGAAACCAGATAGATCGGCCGTCGTCCCACCCTGTCAACGAAGAAAGACATGAAGACATTGACGAAGAGTCCCCAGGTCTTCAGCCCGGCGTTGATACCTAGCTGCGTGTTAGGGTTCGTGATGCCCATGCTGTTCATCACTTGGTACAAATAATACGATATGAGTCCGTTCCCTGACCATTGGGAGAAGAACCCGATGGCGGTGATGATCCCGATCCTCTTGCGATTGCCTTTGGTGCGGATGAGGTCTAGCCAGGAGTTGGCCTCGGCTTCCCTGTCGAGGGTGATGGTTGTGCGGATCTCGGTGAACTCAAGCTGGACGAACTCATCGTCTCGCCGGCCGCCGGCGTGGTAATGAGCCAGTATCCCGAGGGCCTGCTCCGGACGATCTCTGTTCAGCAGCCAGCGAGGGCTCTCTGGAACCCACCACATCATCGCGAGGATGACGACGCTGCAGATGGACTGCAGCAAGCTGGGGAGCCTCCACGACCAGTCACTCTGTTTTCTCAGACCGTTCAGCTATTCAGCCATGCTGCTGGCTGCCAAACACACAAGGCAAAGCAAAGCAAAGCACAGGGAGGGGAAGGGAACTGACCTCGATCCTCAGCGTCCCATACGTAACCCAACTCGCAATGAAGGCCCCCGAATGGTACGAGGCGGCACTCAGCGTCACCAACACGGCTCGGTCCTGCGGATGCGCAATCTCGGCAATCAGCAACGGCGCCGAGCCGAGCACGATGCAGTCTCCCAAGCCCAACAGCAGCCGCGCCGCAACGAACATGCCGAAGTTTCGCGCGCCGGTCTGCAGCCCCACGGCGACGAGCATGACGAGGCAGCCGACCGTCACGCCCGACTTCCGCCCGAAGCGATCGACGAGGTGCGGGACGAACAGGAGCCCGGTGAGCGAGCCGAGGGACATGGCGGCGTTGAAGAGGCCGAGGATGGAGCCCCTGGGGTGGTGGAAGTACTCGCGCCAGTAAGAGAGGGTCTGGAGGCCGTTCATCATGGAGCCGTCGAAGCCATTCGCTGTCTAGTAGGAAAGGCGGGGCGAGGGAAGTGGTCAATCAATCTTCTCGCTTTGAAGATGGGGAAAGGGGTGGGATGTACGTTGGTCAGGATGAGCACGACGATGTAGATGTATAGCTTGCGCAGATGGGCGTCTCTCCACCACTTGATGCGCGGGAAGGTTCGGCCGGCGAAGAAGAAATGGCCGCTGGGAGGCTTGACGGGCTTTAACGCCTCGTTCTGATGGGTTCGCGGAAGCTTGGGAGGGAAGCCCATTATCATATCCAGCGTTTTGATTTTTTCGGGCTGGAGGAGAGAGAGGTTTGCGGAGGTTGTGAATTTATGGTGGGGGACGAGTGAGGAGTGTGGATGGGCCAACTTCAATTTTGGGCTGTCTCGGGACTTTATAAATAAGCTTTCGAATAACAAGGGAAAATTTTTTAAATAAGACTTTTCATGCTCAGCGTCCCGGTCCTAATCTTTTCCCTCGTAGATCTACGTAGTATCGCGGGGAATGGAATATGGGGTACTGGGGTATGTGCATGCACCTTGCTCTGTCGAGACCTCGGTAGCTCGACCTCGCTTCCCAATGTTGGGAACAACAATAACCGCAGCAAGGCCATTGGCAACGAAGTAAATGCAAAGCAAATAATCCGTCTCCATCCCCATAAAACACTCGAGGGACATAGGCTCCATCCTGATACCGCAATCTTGCAAAAATTAAAAAAATTAAAAATATAAAAAAAGTTTAAAGAAAATTGGGAAAAGCAGTCCTTCGCTACCCCCTTTCCTCTTAGCGACCGACCACCCCCTCAAAGAAAATACACACACCAGCCAGCTGCTGCAACAAGAATTCAAACAAGGTATTGCATCTGATCGGATAATCTCTAGGTTACGTAAAAATCCCATGGGCTTGCAGCGTGAGAGTAGGATGGCTCAATTGGTGATTTTAAAAAGGATGTTTGTTGGTTAGAGCTGGAGAGAGAGAGGTTGGGGTGGGTGGTTTCCATCTCGCTACCTAGGTAGGTACCCCTCTATTGTGATTACTTTCCCTGCAGATGCGCATGAACATGGTACAATCAGTTGACGTTGATAGGAGCGCAAGTAAGCCCATTCGTCGGTGGTTTAGCCTGTTTATCTTACTGAGATAATGCCCTTGTTCGTGAATGCACTTGATCATCTTTCCGGTAGAACGTCGTAGCTACTGGTCCGGATTAAAATTTAGAAGAGCTTGTGAGCCGTTCTCCTGCTACTATTTCTCGGCTAATAACATACGACTACCCCCGGCTAGAATTTGAGCTGATGGCTCGAGGAAATTCGGAGCCAGCCACATCTACCTGCAACTCGTCAAATCGCACTTGCACCCCCGACTCCGGAGAAATCGCAAAGATCCCAATGAGGGGACCAACGAAGTCCGGGCCACTCATGTGAATAGTCGGTAAGCTTCCGAGAACTTTCCATACGGTATCCCCATTGACATCACAGCTGTATAGAAGTGTGAGTTGGGTCTCGGAGTAGCTGATGCGAAGTGATACCATACTATCCGGGCCCAAAGCCAACTTCTCTCTCTCGATCTCGGCGATGACTTTCGCTTTGTTCACTAGCTCGTAAACGATTTCCGAAGCCGAGAAATCGTAGAAGATCCTGACATAGCGATGTTCGTCTTTGTAATACACCAGACCAGCTTTGAGCGCGGCCTTGGGAGAGCTGGACACACCTTGCATGGCCACGATAGCGCTGCCTTCCAGTTTTCGCTGGCGCTTCCCGACGAATGTCACTGGCGCAGCCCACTGCGAGATATCTTCCTCGCTCGCGGTGAGGGTGATCGATGCTCCGTCATTCGAGAAGACGTGGTCTTTCAGCACAGGATCTCGGATGTACAGAAAGTCGACCATCGGGGCAGATGTAAGGCGCGAGGTACCTTCCACCCGCACGAGTGCCGTTCCGTCCTTGAGAACAGGGTTGAGCTTGACTTGGCTCAGAGCTGGCCACTCTCCCCTCGGCCACTCTGCTGGCGTGAGGAAGCTCTCCCTCCCCATGATGTATCCCGAGTTTTTGAGGGACCCTCTCCGGACCCCAAGACAGACACCCCACCACTGTCCCTGCTGGTCTTGGAACATGTCGGAATGTCCCGTATAGCGAATATACTCACCTGTTCCGCGGGCGGTAAGGATGGGGTTCTTTTCAAACCCTTCATAGGGGCCCCAGATCTCCTCAGACCTGGCTACAGTGACCATATGGTTCTCGTGCGTACCACCCTCAGAGATCACCAAGTAGTAGAAGCCATCTTTCTTGTAGAGATGCGGTCCCTCTGAATAGATCCCACCTGTACCACGCCATATCGTCTTCTCTTCGGACTTTTTCTCCCCCGTCTCTAGATCGATCTCAAATAAATGGATCTTGGTCATTGGTCCCGGGCCAGCTGACCCTTGAAGGTAAGAGCGACCATCGTCGTCGAAAAAGATGCTGGGATCGATGCCATCGAACTCGAAGTACACCGGGTCGCTCCACTCACTTAACCAGATATCCTTGGTCGAGACGATGAAGTTCTCCGTAATGTCACTGGAATCATCGGGGTGGATCACATTGGTGCAGACAATGTAGGTGGTACCCTGGCGGTGACGGATGGTTGGTGCATACAGCCCACCTGTAGCCAGCATGCAATCACCTGTGTCATCCTGAGCATCATCTCTAGGCCAGATCCTTGTGCTTGATCTGGCAAGACTCAATTGCTCTGGTCTGTTGATGGCGTTTCCTAAAGAAATTAGCCAAGTACGGGAATCGGGACTGGCATTTGAGAGCCTACCGATGTGTCTCCACGAGGTCAGGTTTTTCGAAGCGTAGATTGGCAGGCCTGGAAAAACGTGAAACGTAGAGTTCAACAGAAAGAAGGTATCATCTATCAACACGACTGAGGGGTCTGGAGAGAAGCCCGGTATGATGGGATTGATCTCGGTGGAACGCATGGTAGACCTGTTATCCTCGACAATTGTAGGTATAGACAGAACAAGAGTGTTGAGAGAATTAACTTCAACTACATCAGAACTAGACTGTCACCTGACATATATAGTTGAGATCATATAAATCGGGGGCCGAAAAGAGTCCAAATAAACCCCGTCCTAAAACAATCTTCATGGTACATGTGCTGCGGCAGGCGCATATCATCAGCCTTGAAGAAATACACTGCCGGTATCACAGGTACCGAATGAGAAGTACGAATATTATGGTGGTACCAATTGTATTCGTGAAGTCTGAAGAGGTCAGCTATTCTAGCTGAAGGAGAGCTATATGCTAGTGCCAAGGCCGGCTACCTAGTGTAGCCACGTGACCATATAGCCACGTGACCTTGGATACCCATGCCCTATATTCCCACATACACGGAAAAAAAATCTCCCTTCGAGCGGAAACCTCAAGCCATCGGATCTCTTCAGTAAAAAAAAGCACTGGCTTCGGGATAACACTTCTCTTGGTCTGTAGCCGGTTAAATAGATACATAATGCCAAGAAGTAAAGCGAAGCCCCCTTTCGGGGTGAGCGGCACAGGGGATTGTTGATCGCAGATAAGTCTTGCTATGACTGGTGAAGCAGTGGATTTAAAGTAGAGAGTTACTTGCCTGCAGCTGCTACAAGGTGTTTCGTTATGCAATTATTATGCATTTGAGCGTGTCACATGATAGCGGAAGCAGCCCCTTGATACGACAGATCGCTAGGACATGGGTGACAGGAGGAGTAGGAGGTAAATAGGTGCCTGTTATTTGTAGCCGCTCATTGCTAGTGCTTTGCTCATGTATTATGATAGTATTAGCTGACAATTAGTCGGGTAATTCGTGGTACCCATTGAAGAATGAACTGTCTGTCTGTTCCGTGTAACTCAAGCACCTGTAGAAAAATGATTGTAAAGTACCCGGGCCCTCAGCTAGAAAAGTAGATGTGAGAAAGATCGATCCATATGATAAATCGTCAAAGCTTCTTGCTTGTCCGCTGAAAAGTGAACACTCTTTGAAATGTTTTCTAAGGTGAATCAAAATCGAAGCCTGATGATTGTTACCAATTAAAGCAATGAAATCAGCATTTCGAGAAGGATTGAATGCTCTACGCGGGTCATAACAGTTTCAAGATATCCATTTGTGTAGAGAAAGTCCTACTGAAGCACCGACTTCCTCTAAATACCAAGGGAACCCCATAGCGCCCTCGAAGATTTGAAAGATAACCCTGCCATTCATATCCCCCAACCGCAGCAGTAAGAGGTCCTCAAAAAGTCTAATGTAAAAAGTTAGCAACCTGGAATCATAGTTACATGCCAAATAAACCTACTTCCTAAACTGCCGCCTTCTTCGCCATTTCATCCTCGGTCATGAATTCGATGTAGATAGCTGCACGAGAGACCTCGCCGGCAACCTTACCAGGACGAACAGCGTCGAAGTATTGCTTCAACAACTTCTCTCTCTTATGATCTCGAACTCCTCCCCAGGATGTTCTTGAGCTCAAGCAGAGAGTCTCGAGCGAGGGGAAGAAGCGAGCCAGAAGCTTCTCGAGACCATTATTGGTGAGATACCCGGTAGTGAGCACCAGATGGCGAATATTATCCAGAGTGTTTACCTGAATGGCATGTCCAGCTTGGCCAACGAATGAAGATTCGAGGAGGCGTGCGTCGACCTGGAGGCTGTCTCTGTCGTAGTTGACGTACATCGGATTCAACTTGGGGTGGTTGAGGAATGCTTTGGTGTAGAACTTGAGCGCCAACGCGCGCGACTCCTTGTGGACGTGGAGTGATGGTGGAACGGTGTAGGAGGTGTTTATCCGAGCTTGGGCGATGTCACTCGAAAGGACGAAGGTCTTGCTTCGAAAGGTGGTCGCGAGCTTGATGGTTCTCGGGAGGAAAGAGGATAGCCAAACGATCGAGCGCAGCTCCAAAGGAAGATTCTCGAATATCGAAAACAGCGGGCTTTCGTCATCCTCACTTTTGGTGAGACTTGTTGCTTGTACTGGTTTTAAGGTCCCCGACTTCACATCGTCAGATGACCCCTCGATCTTGAAAGTGTTTGGCAACGGGTCCGCCGAGGCAGGAGGCATCGAGATAGCGGCAGGCATCATAGAAGTCCAGTAACACTATCGCATCTTGTTAGGAAGAGTAAGGGTCCCAAATCGGGTCGGTACTTACATGGCTTGTGAGGTCTCGGGGCCTTCTGATGGACGACTTGATGCAATGTACTCTGGTCTGGCGAGCACAATCAGCTCTGGATCCTGTGGTAAAACGACCTCGATAATTTCGGCGAAGACTTACTGATGCGATGCAATCCTCCAAATCTTCTCCACAAAGCCCCAGAGACCAAAATATTTGTTGGACGGAAGATGTTGCGTTGCTGGAGATGATGTTGCTCTCCAAACAGATATTATGCGAAACCGAGATCGAGAATGTTATGGTATTGAAGGTAGTAGTGTTGAAGCTGGTAGTGTTGAAGGTAGCAGTGTTGAAGGTAGTGGTATTGAAGTTAGTGGTATTGATAGTATTGTTATTGATAGTATTGTTATTGAAGGTATTGTTATTGAAGGTATTGTTATTGAAGGTAGGTAGGTAAAGGTGAACTGCAAGAGGTAGAAAACCTTAGCTCCGTTTGCTTCTGGTGAATTTTTTTCTTTGTTTGTTTAATAAGCGAGAATTCACCCAGCGACCCTGTTCGAAAATTCTTTATTTAAATGCTAACCCAGTGAAGTAGGAATCGCGACGCGAGTACCCCTGCGAGCAAGAAGAAGACTCCGCAAAAAACTTACTCTTAGGCTTGTGAAGCGGCATAGGGGATTGGTAAGATGGACCTATGATGGTTCGTACGATGAGATCAAGCACTTTAGTCCCGCAAAAGTGAGCATTGTCGACACCCAGACCAACAGACCCATGACCGCGAAGTTTCTCTACTGGCCTACGTATGCGGATGATACAAAGCCGACTATGCTCAGTAAGATGAATTGACTCCAAATTCACTATCCAACTATGATAAAAAGGAGATGTGCTGGTAATGGGGACTAGATAAGCCCCTATGAAAGTTGAGAGATCTGAGGTCATTATCGCTGATAATCTGCAGGTATTACAGTATTACTGGAGTCCCGAGTAGGGCGAAGCAGATATACGACGCCTACGTTGAGTTCACCTTTGCGGTACCAGGAGCACATAACCAGATATAAACTACCCCCAGAAGGTAGCATTGTGCTTCCCTGATTATCATAGTTATAATCAGACTACCACTAAGCTTGTTTAGGACAATAACAAAATGTCTCGGCTAATTTTATAGCTCCCCAGTTTTAGTACATAGGGTCGAGAACTTGGATCCTTAACTTTGACTTTTAAACAAATTCGATCTCCTAAAAATCGATCTAACAACCACTCAAATACAAAGTACGCTACCAAAAACAACAACCACCTTAACGAAGTGAATACCCCTATCCCCCCCCCCCCCTCCCCCCTTCCCGTCCCCCCCCCCCCCGACTCCCCACTCCCCCTTCACGCGCTCCCCTTTTGTCAATGACTGTATCCTACTGTATATTTCTCTATCATGAGATTCAATAGCCATAAGTGTAAAATACTGACTGGCGACATAGAAACAAACAAACAATGGAGACTGCTACGGCAGTGATACTCGCCGTCCTTTCTTGTGCCCTGCCGCTCCTCGGCTACGCCGTCTTCACGTGGGTGCGTGACTGCTCCGAGAGCAGAGCGCAGTAAGTCACTTGAGTCATTGAGACATTGAAACAATCTGATTGTATTTCAGGCGGAACCGTACCCCGGTGACATGGTACTCTATGGGACCTATCAGAAACACTGCTAGAGCTGGAAACGCAGTTTGAGGGGGGGCGGAAGGGGGATGTAGAAAGGAGCATTGTAACCCGAAGATAAACACTTTGAAAGTGAACGATTCTACAACCGAAAACTCCACTTTGAAATTCTCGTGTTGTCCAGGGTACGAGAAGATCATGCTGTATTTCTGGTAGCCATATTCTGATCTTGAATTTCGAATAGGAGCTTCAAGTTTGGTTCATTGTCCCATTGGAACCCAAGAATTTGTATGACTTGGGCTCCCTCCATAGTTCAGTATACCGAAATCGTAGCACGGGCTCTACTCACCTTCAGGATCCCGTTTCTGACGGCAAATATCAAGCAGCAGCTCATGAATCAATTTGATAGAATAACGTGCCTGGAAGGAATCCTTACGCTCAGCAAGCAGCGCATGCTACTTCCTATTTCGGCCCCCCATCTCGGCACCCAAGTCAGCAAAGCAGCCCGCCCAACCCGCTCAGCCACCACCACAACGACCAGCCTCAGCCTCAGCATCTCCATCCACACCCCCTTCCCCGTCATCCCCTCCTACCTCCCTTCTGCATCCAAATAATTCAGTACACCTCCTCCCCCAGCCAATCCCTATAGTATCATCATCATCCACCGCCCTCTTCTCCCTCTTCTCCAACCCTTCCTGCCCCTCCCCAATCGCGCAAGTCATTAAGCATGTACAGTAGCATGGTAGATCCAGTATGAGATAGTTCCTAATACTGCTGGTACTGGGAGCTCGGCTTAAAAGACCTTTTGCTCTCGTAGGTTACAGTCATATTACAAAGTGGTGTATTACTCAAAGTCTTCTCGGAGCCACTCTCTAATGATAAACCTCCTACGGACATCAAATGCCCTTTAGGATGGCTATCCGAATTTCACAGCCCAGCTGCGAAAAAGAAAAAAAAAAAGTTTGGGTTGTGTTCAGTCAAATGAAGTATTCCAACTGCTTCATGGTGAGAGACAAAAAAAAACTAGATTTGTTGATTCCAGTGAGGTAATTCGGTACTGATAGATCTAGGCCTCTGTTGCTATTGATTCATGATACGCTAACCGGTCTAGTAACGCATCTAGCTATTGTCTTCCCGTCAAGTGAACGAGGCATCACATCGAGATTATATCGAAAATCGCTTTCATTGCTTATGAAATGATGAAAAAGACGCTGTTGCATCCGACAGACAGCCACTTGCTCTCTCGGTCAAACCCCTCGGACCCCGATCACAATCATTCGCTCTTAACAACAAAGAATCAAGAGGGAACATAAGTTCGGATTCTTTGTCTTGAAAAAAAAAAGGGCATCAAAATCCCTCCAGATATTACAGCAAGTACGTCGCAGATGCCATGCGTAGAGCCTATACGAGGAGCGATAATCAGACGACGAGGAAGTATCATTCAGTAGAGCCGGCAACCCCGAAGAAGGGAGATACATCCTTCGAAACACCAATCTCCGATATTGCCAAAACCTCCGAAGCACCACGTACGATGTTTGACTCCTTTCTTCGGTCGTTTACTATTCTCTGTCAGTCTACTATAATCAACCTCGGGCTGCAGAGAGACGGAGAATGCAGTCCCTGGTTCTTCTCTCTCTAACAAACCTTTAAAGCTTTCCGTAGCCATAGCCGCCATTGTATTCTGAGTGGAGAACTCGAAGCCCAGAGCCCTAGCAGTGGTGCTCCCACCAACCACAAATCTGCGGGCTCTCGCGAGCTCGTACTTGGCGGAAACCTTTGCAACAGAGTCCTGGACATCTTCCTTGATGAGCTTGATTGTCTTGAGGCTCTTGAAGCTCTGAAGACGTCTCCAGGTCCTCATATGATATGGATAGGTCTCCTCGAGAGTGCCGTCAAGATTGGCACGGTCAATGCGTCCGATCATGATATTCTGGATGTTGGCTTGGATATCGTGGTGAGCTTTGCCGACGGGAGAAGATATATCGGAGAGCTGAGACTCGGTAGGGAAGAAGAGGATGTCGTGGGTGAAGTTGATGTAGACAGGATGCTCGAGGTGGCTTGGCGAACCTGGGACGAAGGTGTAGCATTTGAGTGCTGCGGCGCGAGCTTCGGAGGAGACCTGGCGGGACATGAACAAATCAGCATTTGCGTCGACGAGGAAGTTATAGAGATAGGACAGAATTGTAGAAGTGAAGATGTGTTTTAAGGGGGGGGGAATAGGGATCCATCGTCGTCACGTACTTGAAGGATGGCGGGGATGAAGAGGTTGACGCGTCGGTTCTTGACGGTAAGGACGCGAGGGGTTGATGCGATGAACTCGTATATTTGAAGGCGGAGTTCATCTGGGAGCTTGGAAAACGAGGGAAACATGCGACCGATATCCGGATTTTGTTCTTGAGACTTGGATGCGATTTCCGGGAATTGCGCCTTTAGTTTCATCTCGAATAATGGAATCTCGGCAGGCGGGCTGCTTTCTTCCCTATTCACAATGGAATATATCCGGTCAGGTATGTCTGCGGGGGTTGTGACGAGTGACTTTTCAGGTATCTTATCTTTGTCAGGAGAATCTTGCCGAGTAAATCTTGCAGGCAGTTAGCAATATACCGAAGAATGAATAGAATTTGAGTTTACGTACGTCGCGTCGTGTTGCTGATAGAATTGGGTAACTGCTTTTTGGTATCGTTATATCCAGAAGTAGAAGCTGCGTTCCATGAAAAACATCCCGGCGTGGCATTACATAGGTAGGTACATATTATATGACGGGGCATAATGGATCCACGGTTAAACTAGAGCATGACGGCACCTGTTACCTTGCACAGAGCTCTGTAGGGTACCATTCAATCAAACCATGCAAACCTATTCATTCTCTAATATCTGTTGGTTTCACTCGAAATGTGAATTGGCAACGCTACGTAGATGATCAGCGCTACTGGACTGGGCTCATCCTCTCGTGCAACTCGCTTCAGCACAAAACCATCCGACCTTCTTCCACAAGAACAGCAACCTCGACATCAGACAACACGAGAGGAGAAATCATGGAGATACTACTACCACCCATCGCCAAAGCTACCATGTCTTCTCTCATCGCGTTTGGCACGGAACTGCTCTTCAAAACCGACCCCACTTTCACCCTGTTCCTTCAACTACCCGCCGAACTCCGACTCAAAATCTAGACCACATGGAGCAACAACCCAAGATCAGTCTTATTTAAAGTCCGTCTCAAACGGAACGGGATGTTCGAACAACACAGCCAAGAACAGGTCTGCAGCTAGAGAGTCCCTGTCCTCCACGTCAACCGAGAAGCTCGACGCGAAGCCCTCAAGGTCGACAAAGTCTCCTTCCGCTCCCACCTTCTCCGCCAGAGGTACTTCAACTTCGCCGTCGACACGATCCAGTTCTTCTCCTGCGCCGCGTTCTTCACCTTCAGCCTCCATCAAGACCCCGCCGGTGAAAAATCACGGGTCCTGGCCGTCATGGTCCCAAAGAATCCCGGTCCTCGAACCCAATTTACAGCGTGAAGGTATCCATCGGCATCTGCGGCTTCTCTCGATTAGAAAATATTTTTCTAGGAAATTTTAGCGAACCGACCACGGGGCTGCAACAAGACACTGTCCAGGGACTGGTCGCGGCAGCTGGAGAGGACCCTAACGAAGAAATCAACAAGACTTATGCCTACCGCTTACTCGCCACTGAAAGAGATGCGGGCAATACGATTACGACTCTGTCGGACAATACGATTGCGAATCTGTTTCCAAAATCATTTCGTCTAGGCCTGATGGACGATTGCGCAATGTTCCAGGCGGCCCGCACGGGAGAGTTCAATTTTTCGCGCGAAGACGGAGGCCCGCGAGGCCGAGATCACGATGCACTTTGAAAAAGACGATGCACCATCTTCATGATCCTGCCTCGGGGCGTAGACAGGCTTCTTTGATTTACAAGGGCTGTCGGCACTGGGAGGGTGTAAATGATCAGCATGGGAAGGGCGGCTACTCTCACTCTCATACCATTCGTCTCGCTCTTAACCCCTTAATAAAATGTAACTTCTACCAGACCAACTACTTCAAAGGGAATGCAATACGCTCAAAATATCCATGTTCCCAGATATAAGCAAGCACTTTTGTTTCGCATCGCAGCTTCTTTGGACTTCTTCTCTTTGCCATCCGCCTTATACCCATACTAAATACCAGACTCGCATATCATTTTTTTCTTAGTCAAAGATTCGGATACAATACTAAGTTTCTCGCCGTAGCCTAGCCTTTATCAATATATATAAAAAATATTCCTCGTATATTTAAACACCTACCTATTATTAAACGAATTTAATCAAATATGAAGTTCTCAAATGGAATCCTTTTGTTCTCATGCTTCTCCCGACAAACGAGGGAGAAAGATCTCCCGCTACTTGTGAGTGCCCGGACATAGCGCTAACCATTAGCTGGGGTAGGGTGGGCCTTGCTATTTCCGTAAATAGAAACAAGTGAAGATTAGCTACCCGCACCTACCTCAAAGGGGAATGCTAGAGCTTAGAGGTTTTGGATAATCGGCTAGCTGGTCATCCGATGAAGATCTCATTGGGAGACGATCCTAAAAGGTTAGCATGGCTAGTAGATGATTACCTTTAGGTCTGTAGCTGAAGTGGAATCAAACTTGTTATACTACCACCTTAGGACCGTCTCCGAGCGTTTTGACACCGTTTTGGGATCGTTTTAAGGTCGTCCTCGAGAACTTAGATTAGTAAGCAAGTAATCAACACATGCTCTTCTGCTTCCCCTCACCTTTTCAGTTTCCCCCATCCCCTCCCTTTTCCCTTCCCCTCTTATCCCTAGCTTATTACGAGAGGAAACACCGCGGAAAACGGATGAAGTTCCGCTAAATCGCTCGATTTCAATATTTAAACGACGAAAGCGTTGACGTTCGTAAGGCCGCAGCGATCACGAAGAAATATCTCAGCACAGATCTCAGCTTAATAAGCAATATTTCCAAACGAATTCGTATTTAAATAAATCAACTGAACAATATGAACGATCAATAGATCGGTTCTTTCCCAAATCCTAAAACGAGCTCTCTAAGAAACGCGTTCTCAATAATTAGACGGGGACGGGCTGTGGGACGCTCATGGGACTGTCTTTTTCAATGGGATGGTCTATTAGCTAAGCTGTTCTTGAATAGAGCTTAATACTGATTTTGAACGGACCGATAACCATCTCATATAGAAGAAGGATAGAGGACCATTGAAATGACCCCCTTACCTGCCTTTTGCGCAAAGTAAATCGTACCCCTCGCGGAATACCTATTCACCTATTCAAATGCCCGGCCCGTGCTAAGCACGAAAAAGGTACCCGCAAATATCCACTTTTGCGTGCGATAAGACCTTATCGCATGTACTTTCCCGTGTTTCTCAAAATCTGGACCTCGAATCAATTGTTTAGCCTGAAGTTGCTCAAATGCGTAGAAATCTCCGCTTGCATAGGGAAGTACTTCAGTGAAGAAGATGGTTCTGTATAGAGAGAGGCCCAGGACGGAGTGAACGAAGAATCGAAGACGTCAAATGAAGCTTACCCGGGCTCGGTACACACCCGGGGCTAGGCCTTTTCCGGTGGTGATCTACACGCCATGTGAGTAGATCGTGGCGTGTAGATCTGCCGGCTGGCGTTTACGGGGCGGCCCATCGGGTCAAAAGTAAAAGTAAAACTAATAGAATATTCACCGGCATCCGGCGTGGATGACGAGAGGTAAGAAGGATAGCCAGTATAAGATCACAGCAGCAGAGATATGAAAAATAATTGACCAAACATCATACCCCACGAAACCGTTCCAAACCCCAGGTCTGTGAGCTAGCGGCTTCGACAGGGCTGCGTGTGGGCTCGTGCTGCTGCTGCTGCTGCGGCTGCGGCTGCCCGTCTGAAAATCTCACGTCGGGATAGATAGCTCCCGACCTTGCAGGCAATGTAGGTATCACCTCGCAAAGTACTGGTACCGAGCTTGTGCCTGTGCCGCGCAGATCAACGTCCGAACCTTTTCACCTTTTCACTATGTTACCTCGACCTCCATCTCGCCCATCCACTTCTTCAACCGTCTTGACGGTGAAAGATTCTACCAACGACGTCTCGAGAGCCAGAATTTACGCTCATGAGCGGCAGTGATACTGCTGGCAGCGCTGCACTGTTCTTGGGTGCTAGGAATATGGACGACGAAGAGGCAATGGCTTCAGGCCCGGCAGCAGAAAGAAAACAGGGCTTTTGGAGAGCAGCGTATGTGATTTCGGGCCTTACAAAGACATCAAATGGACGGAAAGATGTGCTGATACCCCTGTGTTGCAGATGCTGGACGGTATGCTCTGCAGCGGCAACATACACGACAAAGCAATTGATGGTCACTCACAACTATCGTGAGCACGCTACTTCGCCATTCGAGATTTCCGCTAATGTCTGCTAGATTACCGTATGTTGGCACAATCAGTCCCTGTTTTCTAATCTGTATCCTGACTCGCACAGCACTCACGATTGCTTTGCGCTCGGTGGTTTCAATGGCTCTCGTGTACGTCGCCCTCCTTCGAATATACACAGAGCCGAACGTGATTTCAGGAGTGAAGAGGAGACAATGGGGGTTGAGGCAGTCGGAAGGGAATGATTTCTTGCTCAACCGGCACTGGATCCCCATGATACCTGCTTCCTTGGCCGCGGCAGCATCGTTCCCTATGCTTATGGAAGGGATTCTACACATGCCGAGTCTTTCTGTTCTAGTCATGTTGTTTGTGAGTATTGCACCAACATCCAGTGGTTGTCAAGACTGACATCGACAGCCTGTCATTTACATTGCCGAGTCCGTCGTCTTGTTCATATGCTGCGCCAAGTCTCGATCCCAAAAGTCTCTACCTTGGGAAGCCGTGGTTTCCACAGCGGCGTCGAGCACTGTGCTCTTTAATGAGTATCGCCTGATGGTCCCAGGTCTTATATGGGGGGTTTCAGGCATTCTACTTATGGGGTTCTCGCGCGCATGCTTCGTGCTGGGATCCGAGAGAGCGGGGTCCAGTATTGCGGTCCAGGCTCGACTGAAAACGTACCATGGATTCGTCTGCATGACATTGCTGTTCGGACTTCTGTTCTGCGGGGTACCAGCTTACTACATGGAACATTTTGAGCCTACAGTTCCTCTGACACGCGCAACCTGGGCGCTAATACTCGTAAACCTCTTGGCGATAACTGGTACGGCATTTTCGGGAACATCCCTTTTGGCATACACGCCCATATCTTTTGAGGATCCGACGCCAGAGTTCTCAAATATACCCGTGCGTGGGGTAGATTTCCTGGCCTCTTCATCTTCTAGCCTGTGGACCCTTCTGGTGACCATTCATTCAAGTCCAATATCCAACGTCTCCTGGGTCCAGATCGCAGCTTACTTGATCGCATCCGCCTGTTTGGTTGGGATAGGTCAGATGCACGGTTACATTCTAGCATGCGTGGAAATAACTCAGCAACAGATGAACAAGTCAAGAGGAAACGAGCGCCAAGAAAATCGCAGAGCGAGTCGCGTTCTGACTTTAGCAGCTCTTTTTATCCTTCTTCTCGTCTCCGGCTGGACCGTCTCTTCTTTTGCCTCCGCATCCATCAATTCTCTCCCACAAAGTTTTCCAATGTCGACCTTTGACACCGCATACATCCCCACCGAACGCTTCGAAATTGTCGTCTCAATGTACAAGGAAGACACCGCCTCCGTAAAAACCATGCTCACATCCCTTAAACACACGACCCTCCTATCCACCCTGAAGCCCCGCGTCATAGTCTATACTAAAGACCCAGATCAAGATCTCTACGCCCTCAAGAAAGCCACTGGCGCCGACATTGTTGAGCGTCTCGATAATACCGGAAGGGAGGGCGGTACCTATTTGTGGCACATAGTCAACAAATGGGACGAGCTCGCCGAGCAAACCATGTTCATCCAGGCCCACGCACACAACATGCGCGAGCTCATACCCAGAATCAACTCTTACCTCGTCCCTGCGACGGGCATGCTCAGTCTCGGCTTCACAGGCGTGACGTGTGCGTGCGGCAGCTGCAGCGACCGTTGGGGCTGGGAGGACAAATGGGGCGTCATCCCGGCCCTCTATGAGAAGATCTACTCGCAGCCCTGCCGGCGCGACGAGCCGATTCTGCTGTCGTACAAAGGCCAGTTCGTGGTCAGCGCGCGCCGTATCCGCGGGGTGGGCATCAAGACGTTCGCAGGCTTGCTGACGACCATCACGAGTCCTAGGGCTGCAGAGGGCGGCATCCACCCGGGGAGCGACGAGATGAAGGGCGTAGGCACAGAGGCGGATAGCTCGAGTAACCCGTTCTTCGGCTTCACGGTCGAGAGGCTCTGGGGACTGGTGATGCAGTGCGCGACTGATGCCGGGGTGGCAGCTCGCTGTCCGTCGTTGTTGAGCGGGATGGGCTACGCGGGCAAGGTGGAGGATTGTCAGTGTCTGGATGCACCGGCGAGTTATCCATAGACAATGATAAGGTGGGCGGATCGATGGACAGTGTAATGTCTTTTTTGGCGTAGTTTTTTAGTGATTGCTTTTGAGATACCAGATATAGCAAAGACATCCATCCACCCGAGAGAAAAAAATCCAGCCTCGAACGGCTGCAAGGTTAAATAAAGCATAGGTATTCGGCACAATCTTACCTCGAAGTCCTCGAAGCTGCAGTCAAGCCCATCTTTCGAAATTTGCCTCGCAAATATTCGTTTCAGCAAGATCGTGTATCGATTCACGCTGCGAAAAAAGCTGGGCCTTGGTTCGACAAAAATAAAGATCACTTTCTTAATCAATGGGCCACCTTATCCCCCCCGATCCCCATCCGACCGAGCACGTTTAGTAGCATTATCTTAGAAAGAAGCTGAGGGCTTTACCAAATGTTCCCCGACGTTGCAATCGACAACTCGAATTCAGAACACGCGAGGCAAAGTATGCGCATCGACGGAGAGGCAATTGGAGTCTGAGATATGAGACAAAAGATATTTGAACGGTGCCATGATGTATGAATGTGAGCGAGTGTTGCTTACGTAGCTCGAACCAAGTTGCCTTTTCGGCAAGGTGATAAGGTTTTTTTTTTTTTTTTTTTTTCTCCTTCAGACTATTGTGGTTACGGTTTTTATCCTATGCTGCCTCTGGTGTTTTCAGAAGGAAAGTAATGGACCTCTGTGGTCGGGAGTAGCAGGAACGGAGGATTTGTGGGCCTGGGGCATGAGCACGGGGATGAGGGACACCGCGGCTTCCTTGTAGGGAACTGTAATCCAGAAAAGAGGGATAGAAACTGTCGCGAATGATAATAATTAGAATTGATCATTATGACTAGTCTTAATAACACTTGTGATACTACCACTGGTGAGTCATTGAACATATAGTCATAGATTCGTAGCTTATGAAAAGAAAAGAGGGATCAAATCTGAGATGCTTTGTTGTCAAATGACTACTACCTTTTATCCCTTATTCTAAAGATTCCTTGGTCACGAAAGAGATAGGTCTAATACTTTCTAACCAAACAATACCTTTTCGTTCTTAGTACTTCTTCAAAGAACGAATTAGGCTGCTTCATGGGGCCGTCCTTATTGGGAGGAATTCGTTCTTAGCTCTAGTTCCTCTCTGCGAAGGAAGCCCTATAGAGGGCACCTTCAAAAACCCGACCTCTTCGTAAGAAAACCTTGTAAGTGATGAGATTTTCTTGTAAGGTATATACAGAAAGGTTAAGCAAAATATATACTGATGTATAATTCATATTTATTGATTCTATCTACTCTTTGCATTTGTTAGTTGTGTTTCGCGATACCTGACTTTGTATTTATCGATTACAATGAATTGTATTTATTACGTGTGGGGATGAGAATTATGGGTGGATGGAAGGATGCAGAGAGAATAATCGGATTTCGATTGTTAGAAAATGATATCTGGGTACAGAGCGTGGCTAGAAGACAAAGTCAAAAGCTGATAGAAGAATGGACGATGCAAATATATAAAGGAATAAACCAACTTTTGGCTGATCCCTTGAAGAGAATAAAGCAGGAAACTTCGAGCCAGCGAAAGGAATATATATCTTTAAAATACAGACTCATTGGAAAAATAGCTGATGCGCGATTAAAGATCGATTATATATTATAATCCATGATTTCTTAGGATCGCGAGTCCTAATTTCAAAATGACGTTGATGGAAAGCGAAAGTGAAGCTATCGTGACATCCCTCGTAAGTGTTCCACTACTTCCCTCTTTCCCTGAACGAAAACGTCGATGCCCTACCCAAAGAACCTCGCTTCCTCATCCGCATACCACGCGATAATATCAGCACCGTATCATTACCGAAGATATTACATGCGGAATCCGAGGGCAAGTAAGTCAACACGCGCACACCCACTAAAGACCAACGCGATCCGATAATAGCCAACGTCTTGAGAGCCTTCTATCCGCGGCTAGGTCTAACGGCAAATTCGCGTACATCTGCAGGAGGAAGACACTTTTGCACCAGCGGAGAAAATATGGACTCGCGCGATCGACAACGTAAGGGCTATGGACTTCCAGAAGCACTGGAGCGACGAGGACCAAATGAGTTCGAGGACATACTGATGGAGGGCGCCGACCACCGCGTGGCCGATCCCTTGGACGTCGATGGCAGCACACCCGCGCCAGCACCACCAGCAGGTCCTTCTAAGAAAAGGCTCGCCTCACCCTCTTCATTCCATGACTCTAAACGCAAAAGAAAAAGACAAAAGCGGATCAAAACCGAGGAGAACGTCAACTGGAGTCAGAGCCGCGCGATTCCCACGGACATCGTCTCTGCCGACAAAATCCGGGTGCGATTGCCAGCCGCCACGCTCGAAAACTCTGAATACAAAAGACAAAAGGGGATCAAAACCGAGGAGGAGAACGTCAACTGGGGTCGGAGCCGCGCGATTCCCACGGACCTCGTCTCCGCCGACGAAATCCGGGTCCAGTTGCCGGCCGCCGCGGTGTATCAACAACGGCGACAGCAGCAGCGGGATGTTTGGGTCGCAATTGCTGGTGCATTTGCGGCGGCGCGCGCGCAGCTACATGGAGAAGATCTGGAGCTGTTTGAGGCGCTGTTTGAGCGTCCGGTGGCCGGAATGAGTCCGAATGAGCAAATTGATAGATGGATCCGGGGGACGCACGAACGTTGGGGCTAGCGCTGCTACGACGGATACTCCTGTCGTTCGCCAGCCGCTGGGAGATGCTGATAGTGTGGCTATCAACAAGGAGGTGGGATAGTCGTGTGTGTAACTTGGCGGACTTAAGTATCTCTATATGAGAACTATCTTCTTCTGGAAGTCTGCCGCGGCAGGGTATGACGAGGAGATGACTGTTTCCAGGACTGAGAAAACGCCTAGGATAGGGTCTTGTACTGATATAGGATGATATGGATCACTGGCTATTGGTTGTGGTTATTTGGATTCTTTTCGTAGCAGCGTATTGTACCCGTCTACTTTGTACTTTAAATGAGCGCTTGAATACCATTTTGGGCTTGAGATACTTACCTAGATATCTGGTTTGCTTTAAAGTAAGGTAGAAATTAGAGACAAAACTCTTGCCAATTGATGAATCACGCTCTAAATGCAGAAACGCAGTACTATGTTGAGCATTGAGAGCTACTTTAGACACGTCAGTCTCCCATTATACATTTTCCCAAAAGCATAATTAACTAATACGAAAAGACACTTTGCGGATTGAAACTCAAAGCTTGTTCTTCCCTTCAGCATATTTATCTATCGGTGCAATAGATAAATGCGCAGTGTCTTTTTCGGCTGATCATCAGTTGGATGCTGCGCTTAATGGTGCACAGCGGATGCACTTGAGCGAGGTCGAGATACTTCTGGACATACACACCTATATCCCTGTCAGTCCCGTTGTGGTAATCGTCTCGAGGCATGATATAGCTGGTAAGAACCAAAGGAGCTCTAGGCTGTGTTGTTGTTGTTGTTTGCGAGAAAACAAATATTGAGCGTATTATATTGTGGCCAATTTTAGCTTGGCGATATATTTCGGTGTTATGTTCGATTTGAGCACTGAATAGGATAAACGGACCACTGTAAGATTAGAGGAGATTTAATCTTGCCTCTGAGGATTGCTGAGATCACTCAGAGGAGAGTCAGGCAGCCATTTGACTCGTGGCAAGCATCTCATCTTCCTTCTAAAGATGATTGTGATGAAGCTGCTCTCCTGGCACGGCAAGCCCGGAAAGACATGAGAGGAAGAGAAAAGCCCTGCAATATGGCGTGCCGATCTTAGAGACAGAACAAATCTCGGGAATTAAAATCTCCCAATGGTATAAAGACTCATGTTTTGCAAACCAGCTGAGATTTGGGCTCTCAAAATTCGTAAAGCTTTGTTCGACATGATCGAGTACACTTCAATTCCAACAGCTAGACCATAACATCTTGGTCCATAGCATTGGTCGCCGCCGTAAATGTCTGCATCTTGGCACTAAAATCGCGAGGGAAGTATTTCGCTAAGAAATCCGTCATATCTTTGGTTCCGATTGTGCTCATGCTTCGCGATCCCATATGGCGCTTAATGAGCTCCTGCATTTCCTTGATTTCGCGGACCTCTTGTTCCTCTTTCACCGATGCCGGGCGAGGAGTCCATGGAGGACAGTTCTCATCGAGCTTGAGACCCTTCGCGAAGGCCCAATCTGGCGAACCTTTTGGTGGTCTAATCAGGACCTCCTTTCGTGCACTATGTTGTATATCCTTGATTTCATCTTTATCATTCCAGCCGAGCAGCTTTCTGAAGTTCTCGGGGGTATCCTTGCCGGTGACTACAAGACGTCGGATTGGGTATCTAAGAGCTCGTCATTTTCAATCCGGAGCTAATGACGAGCAAAACCATCACCTGCGATAACGGATTGATTGAAGGATAATAGCTTACACGAGACCACCAGAGCCTAGTTTCAGACCAATTTCGGCCGCCAGTTCGATCGCATCGTGGGCGTTTGGTGCAATGACTTTCCAGTAATCGATCGCTGAAGTCTGACAGTAAGCCTTGTGATCTTTCCAATCTGCTTTTTGGCAAGTTTTGGAGCAGTATGTAGTCTGTCTGCAGCCGCCGCACCGCAGCAACTTGGTACTGTTTGTAGGAGGACTATTGCATCTGTCACACTGTGGTCCTGACTTCTTTATCAACTCATCAAGGAGTCTATCCCAGATCTCCTGTTCGATTTTGCTGCTTGCCTCATCCCCAACCTTGATGACACAAAGTTCCTTGCAAACCCCGGCAAGTTTGAGACGCTGCTCCAAAGCCTTCGCCAAATCGACATCGTCAGTTCCCCAGCTCCATGGAGCAAATGTTTGAGCTTGATGAGGGTTGCTCATCGAATACATGAATACCCTCAGCAACATGGGAAGCACGATATCAGCGCGTTCTGCTAGGGATTTGTAGGACAAGATCTGAGTAGGGCCTTCGGTGCTGTTGTAGCGACTGCCAGGGTTCACAACATGGAGGAGATCGCCCGGGGGTTCCAGTGGAACTCGTCGAATCGCAAAGTACCAGTGATTGTCCACGAGTCCGGATGGAGTCTTTGGGGACCGTGGGAGAGCGTTGAACGCACGGACGAGATCTTCAAGTGACTGCGACATCTCGCCATTGAGTAAGCAGTCCCAGGAAGAGATAGAGAGACTGGATGACTGGTGATTTTTCTGAATGATCAGCTTTAGCTGATATGAGGATGGGAGAGATGAGGTGGAGTGAAAGAAGGGAGAAGCGAACGGACGTCGTCGATCAAGAGCGCCGAAAGAGCGGCCCCACACTCTTTAGTCCGTCTCGGTTACGGAGGAGCACTAACTCAATCAAGGATATTAAACGAGCCCTAATTGAACTCACATCAACCCTCATATAAATACTCTATTATTGTTTCTTATCTACAAAGAAGTAAGTTCACTGCGACCACCTTTTCCAAAACAGATAGCTTTGGAAGCACAAAAATTCGACGGTTCTCGGCAGAAGCTGAGTCCATACCCACAACACCGCATGGTGACAGGCTGTTTTGTAAGTGTTGTTTATCCATCTCAAATTTTAACTCTGGAAGCCTGGGCTACCAACGCCGCCTCGATCTATCCTAAAGCATAATCCCACATTTATTGAGAAGTAGAAAATACGTGCGTGCAACACGTGGACATCGACGCTGCGCGCCAAAGAAGCCTGTCTGAAATAGAAAAAGAGGAGGAAAAGAAGAGGAAAAGAAGAGGAAGGGAAGGAGAAGGAGAAAAAAAGGAATATGAGAAAATGAAGAACAAGAATGGAATAGATTCAAACGCCAGAACATCCGAACCATCCTCGTAAGGCTAAATAGCAACAGCGCAGCGAAGGCTCAAACCTCAAAGCAAATTCGAGCAAACCTCTATCGTCAACCGCAACCGGACATAGAATATGGTATTCTTGACACCGTCGTGCCACGGAACACTGTTCCCTGGCTCCGCCCTCTGCCCCAGACATTCTCATTCGTTACATATGCTTTCAAGGTGTCGCCCGGCGGAAATTGCATGCCATCTTCAAGGACGGGCCTCATTTGGCACTTGAAGCGGTCACACAGAAAGTCTGCGTATCGAGCCGGGGTGCAAACGGAAAGTGTGTGGTTCACCGGGGAGCCCATCGAGCAGAGTTTATCAATCTACCCAAAGTCGGTATCAAAGTGCAGTAGTATACATGTATACAAGAAAGTAATGGAAGTGATCGAGTCTTACCACTTCCTGGAGCAGCTTTCCGTCGTATCCGCTGTCGTTCCTGAGAAGGACCTAATGTCCGGACCTGGCCTGGCCGTGCCGCGCGGACTGTCGAGGCTCTGCAGATACAAGTTGAATTGCTTAGGGGAGACCACGGTCGTGTCGATCACCAAGCCAGGATGGAAGCTTTCCTCGTCTTCGGGGGACGTCCTTGGGTAGAATCGTGCTTCGTAGCGCTTTCCCATGACCAGAAATTTGAGCTTCGAGGTGCATGCCGAGTTGCTGGTAGCGCATCGAGGCTTGCCGTTAATCGCTGCCTGGATCTGGGGTGTCTCTTTCGACTGCACCATACCAAACTGGCTCTCGCTGACACCGTCCCGATAAAAGAGGACGTGGTTAAGGTATCGCTTAGTGCGAAGTCGGCAAGTCTCGAGGCGTTCTTTCATCATACTTCCCAGATCCTCGATATACTTTGAAATCGTTAGTGGCGAATTGGGCTTGGGGAGCAGTCCGATAGACTTATTTCGGTCATGCAAGTTTGTAGCCTTGCCGATGCGGATAGTGTGTATGGTGCTCATCATTGGTTGCGACAACCCAGCCATCGAGAGACAGCAGCTTCCTTTGATCGTGGAGAAGGTCCTCGATCAAGGCTCGAATCGTCTCCGGCTTGGGGAGCCTATGCGTTTTTTTACGTTAGTACTCTTGCTCTTTATTGATGGTTGACCATGGCGCAGTCCTGGTGGGTGGTATCATACAGTTATTTGCGAACGAGCAAGAGGAAAGAAGCTTCACCTAACTAATACCTATTCGCCGCGGTTTGGTGCGCCTTGACAGTGCCAGGAAAAATCATCAGCATACGCAAGTAAACAAAAGGAAAAAGGGGGCCTCGGTCTACGTGAGCACTCTCATGGGGTCGCCCGCCCCACCTTCGCACATACCATACATAATTGTACCCCGCAGCAAAAGAAGAGGGGAAAAAACAAAAACCTTGTAAACAAAAATAAAAAAAATATATTATCTATTGCAACCGCCGTGAATCGAACACGAACCTCCACCTCGCTCATGCACTGAATGCACTGGAAGGGTGGAATCCTAACCATTGGACCACGGAAGCTACGACGCTGTTCATCATTGAAGCCAGCTTGGACATGTCTCAGGTCCAGGGCTATGCTTTTATATTGTCTTCACCAGTTTTTGGACGTTGGTGTGTTGTGCGCTGACCCCTCGCCTCACCCCCACTCTTGGCTTGGCACTCGCTACAATACCGGCCCGGGAAGCGTGTTCTGGAAGAGATCCTTTCATGAACTTTTACTACCTCTCTTTTATTTCCTCGGTTGCGGTCAGGATGTCAACATGACAGTCATCAAAACAGATAATGCGATTCTTCCTACACGAAGCAACTCTATTCAGAAGATTTCCAGTGGGAATAGTTCGGCGATCCTCGCATACCCCTTCGCATTGGGGTGTAACCAGTCTCCCTGCAATGAATCCTGAATTTGGCTCGGGTACGTCTCGTTCCTCAACCACTGATCAAAATCCAGCACTTCATCGTACGTCCCACTTGTCCGTATCCACTCGTTCACCCTCTGCCTCGTCTTCTCTCGTTCCGGATCACTGTATATCTGGGTCGTCTTGTTATACCCGGGAGCATTGAACGGGGTAATAGTCGCCCCAAAGACCGGGATATCGAACGTCTTGATGCGAATGGCAATCTGGATGAAGGCCGCAATCAAGCGATCGCCAACAATCTGCTGGGATAGCGGGTCCGTCGCAGCAGTTCCAATATCGTTAATGCCTATAAAGACCATGGCGTACTCAATTCCCGAGTGGGAGAGGACATCTCGGTCGATTCGGGACAGCGCGTTGGGTCCTACCAGGTCGTTTACGACACGATTTCCGCCAGCGGCTTGGTTAAGAACGGCAATGTCTGACGTCGAGTTACGGGTCTGCATCCTGCGAAGAACGAGGTCCGGCCAGCTGATAATGTTAGTCTGCGAATGTTACGGGCCGTACAGAAATCACATACCGATTATTGGCATCGGTATCACTCCCTCGGCCGTCCGTGATACTGTCCCCAACGATTACGAAAGCGCGGGTGCTCCGCGGCACGTACACCTCAACGGCGCTCAAGAAGTACCTTTTGTTTTTGAGATCAGTATCTGATCGCTTCCTTTTCCAATATCCGAATTGTCTTACCAATGTACCACTCTCACCGCACCTGCGTCCGCAATGTTGGTCGCAGAGACCTGATTCCCAGCGCTGATCCAGCTAGACGTTCGACTTCCCGGGTGGCTTGTCACAGCATTCGTTGCGCTCCGCTGCCCATCTGCTAGATAAATCGTTACACTCAGCATGCTTTGCGGTTCCACTCCCATCTCGATCGGATCTGAGACTACCAACGCTCCGACCGGGACGGTGTAGTTCTTGCTGCCCGAAAACGTGACAGTTCTGAGGGTGCCCGGCTCGATCGCAGCGACCCCTGCAGATCCGTTGAAGGGCAGCGCAACCGTCACCGCTGTGATCGGCAGGTCGGATATTCCGAACGCATTGGAGATGCGGATGCGAATCTGCGGCCCACCGATGGACATGTGGAGCGTTTGTCTGATAGTCGAGTCTACGAAGACAGCGCCTGTTCCATTCTAGGGTACGGTGAGGATCTCACCGGCTTTGTGCATATCGATGGGAGAGACGTACGAAGGGTGCTGGGGGAAGATTCGCGGGCTCTGTCAGTTGTGGCATGCTAACCCAGGTATCGACCCAGCGCTTGTCACCCCTTTCACGCACGGAGGCATCGCCTGGTTTCGCGAGGATGGCCAGGAATGCAAGTATCTTAACTAAGTTCATCAGCATTTTGAGAAGAGTCCTAGCAAAGTACCTTGACGCAGTAGATTCTGATTTCAGATTCGACAGGAGCTGGGGATTCTCAAGTTTATATACAAATCTATAGCCCTCTCCACTACCTCGCGAAGCGCGAAGCGACATAATACGTAGTACATTCCAAGCTTCTACTTACCGTGGGGCCGGCACATCAATATTGCTTGGAACATCTCGGCCTAATATCAATTGCAGATATCCGATCGCTGTCCCCTGTATCGCTCTCGGTTCGTCCGATGCCATCATCTGCAATCGTCCCGGCGCCCCGGATATCCATACCCTTCGAGAGCTTCCCGCCTCCGCAAATTCTGACTATCAAAATTTCAACACCCGTCATTTCAAGCGTATCCCAGGCGCAATCGTCCAGCCCTAATATTTGTTCATCCGTGGAGAGTCGGGGGAGTTGGTGAGTAAACAAGCTTTCTCGCGAGTGGGTCGGGATACCGAGTTAGTGGGGCATCCGTTCCTGCATTCAGGCTGAATTTGAAGCGCGGTGACTGGAGCGACAATTTTAATTCTTAAGAGCTTTGATATATCGAGGCTCACAATACCGGTAGTACTACTAGTACTTACTATCGGCCCTATGAATACGTACTCTCCCCCCCCATGAATAAATGTCGGACCCAGTTTAGGCCCATAAATCATAGAGCGGTGGTCTCTT